ATGAATTAAATGAACTTGATGAAATAAGATTGCAAGCATTGAATAGTATGATTTTACAAAAGAATCAGATCGCTCGAGTTTATAATAGAAGAGTTCGAAAGAAAACGTTTAACGAAGGTGACTTGGTGTGGAAAACAATTTTGCCAATAGATAAAAAATGTAAGAGTTATGGCAAATGGTCGCCAAATTGGGAAGGACCGTTTGAAATTATTAAGGTATTATCGAGTAATGCTTATTCGATCGTCGATTGGTATAACAAAGAGAAAGTCTTATCGATAAATGGTAAATACTTAAAAGAGTATAAACCTCGAATAAGAGGAATAAACATTCAAAATTAAGTCGAATAATGTTTTATAAAGACAAGTATTGGGCCTTAAGTCGATCAAAATCTATTAACAGTTGGGTCCAGGAAGAAGAAATCGAGTTCTCTTCGGCGATCATCTTCTGTTTACGTCCCATGTTCTGCCCCAGAGACAATGCTACTTCTTTCGCAGAGGATTTGATCGAATCTATCTCTGACGTAACAAAATTCTTCTGCAACTTAAGCTGAGCGAGTCTCTTCTCCAGCTGTTTGATCTCGCTATCAATCGAAGCTCGCGTCGTCAACGCTTCTTCCAGATTGAGCTTCTGTGTCTTCAACAAATTCGACTTCTCAATCTGGAAAGAAGAAATATCAGTTAATTTGGTCGCGATCGATTGCTTCTTCTTCCTCGCCGCATAAGTTTTGTTGAATAAATCGGTGGTAGTCGCGACTTCCGCATAAGTTTTGTTGAATAAATCAGTGTCTTCAGGGCATGCTTTGATGGAAGTAATGATCTCTTGAAAATATTGCTTCTTGTCACGCGACTCCACCAGAACTTCGAGGGGTGAGGAGTAGAAGAAAGACCTGAAGCGTTGTTTCAGCTGGTATGATCCCTCAATTGAAGTCGGGGGCATTTTCGAAGAGCTCGACGGAGTGACCTCTGCAGACAGCAGAATATCGAGAATTGAAAAAGGATCTTCCTCGATGACAGCTCGATATTCTGATACATCTTCGGGAGCAGGCTCATTTATCTCGGGTAATGATGCCGAGGGCAACTCGACAGAAGGCATCGCAAAAGGAAGGGAATCCAATTGCTCTGCGGAAACTGGGGAAGGAGAGTCCTGGACTTGGACTATAGGGATATTTACTGAAAAGAAAATAAATCAAAGAGGTGAATCGAAAATTCGCGATAAAGAATGGAATAAAATGAAACAGTGAAGAGAAATTAAGTACCAGGGGGAAGGAGAGCAAGAGAGGTTGAGGCAGGAGGAGGACTCTGTACAGCCTCAGGTTGCTGTAAATCGAAACAAATATCAGAAAAGGAAATGCATAAGAAGTCAAATAAACATACATACAAAAAAGTTGAGAGTTGTACCTCAGGAATAGGGGTTGATGATTGAAGTTGAGAATCGACATTTGTCGATATAGTCGCCGATGGATGATCCTGAAAAATATCGAGAATCGAAATCATGTAACAAGATCTTATCGAAATCTAGGAATATAAAATGATGTAAAAAAGGGACTTACGTGACTGGAATGTGTGGTGGGTGTTGTTTGACCCGCTTTAGTGACCGTGTTGGAATCCGTCGATAATGGATTGATGGTAGATGGTTGAACAGATCGAGGACTCTTCGATTTTTGTTTCTGAAATTAGAAATCGAAAAACAACAGAAATATGTTAGAATCCAAATGAATCGGCTATAGACAAAAGGATAGATAAGACAATAAGGAATCGAAAAGAACCTTCGATTTTTTCGAAGATGAAGAAATGGTGGCCGAGTGCTTGCGTTTCCTAACGAAGGCCGATGGGTCTGACTCATCCGAGGACTCCCAGTCATTCTCCTTCTCCGAGGCAACAATCTTAGAAGGCTTTGAAACTGTCGAAAAAAGAAAACAATTAGCTTACAATATAAAGAAATAAAAAACATTCCTAGAAAAGGCAGCAATTTGAGGGACTGTCAAAATCGTGACTCGATCGATATGTACAAGCCAGGGAGGAAGAAGAAATTGAGGGAGATTTAGGTAAGGGAAATAAGACAATTTCGATACAGAAATGTCCTTGTTTTTAGGTTTGGGACGAAGAGTTTCTCCTAGGGATCTCAGTTCTCGAACCCATTTAGGATGAGTTAAAGGTTTGGCAATCCCAAAAGGTGTTGTAGGAAAAGTGGGAAGGTGATCGGGACAATACATTTCAAAGGGGGTTTTACCTCGAGGATTAATTATTTTGTGATTCGATCGGTTAGTGTCTGTCTTATTGGCTAAGGAAATAACAACGTCATAAAAGGTCGATTCTAATTTCAAAGGATTGTAACAAACTCGATAAAAATTCTCGAATCGAGATATTTGAAGATAGTGGGAGTGTGTACCTTTCTTCGCCTTTGATTTGTCCTGCAACACAAGAGAAGGATGAGCAGTCAATTTCTGTCGGACTTCATCAAAATCAGAATGATTACTCGAGAACCAATCGGCCCACCATTGAGAGAAACCCAGGGTTGATAAATAATTAGACTAAAAAACATAAGGATAAAAATGCATCAGGGTTTTTGGTAACAGTTTGGTGAGCTCCCGTCCAATTGTCGATTCACTTAACTTGGACTTTAGGGAGGTATCGAGGGGGAAAAAAGGTAAGGCTTGACTCAAACCAAACTGCCTCGAGAAAAGTTGGGGGTAATAGGTGACAAGCTTAAGATCCTTTGAGTGAAATCCCGACACTAACACATCGTGAGTCAAATAACTGCTCCATACTTCGACCAATTCTGACATAAAACCCCAAAAAACCCTAAAAAACCCCAGAAACCCTAAAACCTAAGTTATTGTGGGCCTCCAACACGCGAAGGCGGGAATCATGTTGAAAGAATATAAACAGAAACTATTTATATTCTTCCATGGGGGCATTTTGTTAGTGAGAAATCGATAAAGGGATTGAGAAACAAATGGGAGCAAAAAATCGAAAACCATTTTGATTGAGTTAAAGACTGATAAATCGAAAGATAGTTGAAAAATACGTTCGACGACCATGTGACAATATGATCAAGAATTAGAATCGAGAAATCGAAGGAAGAATGTTTTCGAGAAATTAAAATTTTGTAATGTTAAGGTGAAGGAAAACCAAGAGCAATTCAAAGTTCTCGAGATCAAGAGATCAAAATCAAAAGGAAGGCTAACCTGCGTGGATATCGAAATCCCGGCTAGGTCATAAAGAGGGGAACAGTTAAACGTGCACATAGGAAACAGTTTCTAAACCGTGGCAGAGGTCGAAGATCATGGGAACGTGGGTGCAGTTTTGATACCGAAGAAGAAACTGCAACATGCACGTAGGACGTGGTAGCAATTTTCGTTAACCGCTCCTAAGAGGTTACTTGCTTAAAGGATGCCCTATAAATAGAGTGAAGGATGAAGGAAGAGGGGGAGGTGGAAATTGGCAGAGAGAGCAGGAATACTAGTGAGAAGTCTACCGGAGAATGACGAACATCATGAAGTTTCTGGCGATCTGGATTTCCATGTTCATTGATTTCCTTTACCGTTTTCTTTATTTTTCCTGGTAATTTACTTTGATGCAATTTATGTTTAGCAACTTTAAGTTTCTGTGTTTTCGATTCCTTGTCATTTCTCTTTAATGAAAGTTAAGTTTCTGCGTTTAAGTTCATTGTCATTTTTATTAACGCAATCTCGATCTCCCGCTATTTACATTTCTGTAATCTCGATTTCCTGTTATTTACATTTCTGTAATCTCGATTTCCTGTTATTTACATTTTTGTAATTTCGATTTCCTGTTATTTATATCTCCGCAATTTCGATGCTTTGTCGTTTACACTTAATGCAAATTTGAGGTTTCCGCATTTTTCATTCCTTCGCAGCTTTACATTCGGATCGCTTTTCAATTTGTCACTTTCATCGTTTTCCTTATTTCGAGTACTTCAAATACCAAATACCAAAAATAGTGCTTTCGATTATTAATCTTAGTATTTTCTATACAGTGGTATTTTCGATTCTCATACGCATTTCGATTGAAATTTAGTTGCTAGCCTAAGTATAAAGAATCTACGTGGTTGAGTTTTGGCTAGAATCAAAACCTCTTAAGAATCGAAATTAATCAAAATTCCACCGAAACACAAGTATTTTAAAAAAATCAAGTTAATACAAAATATTTAATTTTGTATCTATAAATCTTAAAATTGTAATAGTTTAGAAGTTAACTTGGATGTTTAAAAAAGTATTATAAATAAAAGCCAGAGTTAATATATATTTTTTTATGTTTATCGTGTCTAAAAATATCATATTAGGATATTACATATTACTATCAGAACAAATTTGTATGTTTATTGAATCTACTAATTGTAGTCCCGGTCAATTTTGGAGTTAAAAAAGGTTATTCAAAAGCTTGAAATTTTTGTAGTCAGAATAGTAATAAAAACAAACAAAAAACCACAGATTGTGCGTGGTACCTACTTCATATAGCAAAAGATACGTCAGATGAAGAAGGCAAGTACACAAAACTGTAATAGAAACTTGTGATTTACCAAACTAATCTGCACAACTTTTTCCTTCTATTGTGTCTAAATGCAAGTTGAAAATTAATTTGATATATTGTAGTCCAGATCGTGATGTGCGGAGATTAGGCTTCAAAATCAACGAAATGTGGAGAATTTATGGATTGGAAGCCAAGTAGAAGTATGAATCCTGCCTCAACCTTAGGGTCTTGAAGATAAGCGGAGTAGAGTTACATGTATTACAATTTACCTGCAGTGAAAGTAAGTTGCAGAATGGCAATAAAAAACTGCTATGATAACGGGCTCGGGGAATAAAAATTGGTTCAACTTGAAGAACAAGATCAATTTTATTCATTCATTGACCATGTATGTGACTGAAAATCTATTGGAAAGTGATAATACAGACAGAGAAAGAAGAATAAATAAAATGAATAAAGAAAAAAATTGGTGGCGTAGAGTTGTCTCTGTTCAAAGTAAATAAAAAAAACCTATGCATGAAGCAACAACATGGTGAAAATGAAGCTTGACACCAGCATGACCATTAAGTTTAGTTTAATATTTGGTGCATTGGAAGGAGTAGTGGACTTCTTTTCATGCTTCCCCAGATCGATCATGATTTTGAACTGGCAAGCACTTTGAGGTGGTGAAGGGTTGATGTTAGTGATGGCAGAGAGACCTTTGAAATTGCATGCATCTTTGCGTTGATCCATGGTCTGGTAGTACATGTTGAATGCATATGAAGCATTGCCTCTTACGTCTAATCCACTGCAAGATCCTCCAGGAGAGAGAGGTGTGCAATCAGCGTATGTGCATGCTTTGCTCATGCTGTCAGCAAAAGCATTAGGGTCTTGAACATTTGCTTGAGTTGACATCACACACCATTGTTTTGGCAAATACCTCACCCCTCTTGCAGCAACTAGTTGTTTTCCCCCACCAAGATTTAAAGGGTATTTGATGGATCCATCAAAGTTGAAGACACCCCAGTGCCTCTCAAAAGGGCCAGGCTCAATACTCTTGGCATCCTCATCAATGAATCCAAACAAGTAGATATCAGGTGGGGTAGGTCTTTTGGGACTTCCTTGCCTTTTCACAATGCGGTCAATTAAACCTTGGTTGAACCTTTGAGCATTCTTTATGTTGGCATTTGCTGTGCCATCTGTTGGCCATCCAACCTCTCCAATGATGACAGGCATTTGGCCAAAACCATTCTTCTCAAGGGCTGTGATGAGGGTGTCATAGTTGGCATCAAACACATTGGTGTAAGTTATGGAGCCATCAACCACAGGGGCAGCAGAGCCATCAAAGAAGGCAAACTCTTTTGGAAAGTGAGGATCAGCATCAAGGCTGAGAAATGGGTAGATGTTGAATGTTAGAGGGCCACCATTTTGGCTAAGGAACTTTATTATGGAGATCATTTCGTAATGAATGTCAGGCCTGAAGTTTCCCCCTGATGGAAGACCACTGTCACTTTGGTACACATCTGCATTTAGAGGGGTTGTCACCTTCACTTGCCTGCCTAATCCTGCCTTTATAAGGGCTGCTTGAATGTTTTGGATGGCTGGAAAGGTTGAATTCACAAACCGACCATTGTATGTTTTCAGAAAGGCCTCATTTCCCACAGCAACATACCTACCAATTTTGCAAACACTGGTTAAAGATGCAATATTACTAATTATAAAAAGGACAAAACCATATAATTTTGTTCGAATCTTTTTCATTAAAATTAGTATTTTATTTTGATATGTTACATAATAAATGTTTGCATCAAAGATAATATAAATATTACCTTATATCAACCCCATTTTTGGATATGTAACTGGATACGTTTTGGTTGACCCATGCAATGGCAGCATCGACACTGGAAGCAAGGGTTGCTAAGAGGTCATTAGGTATGCCAACCATCACCTGAATGCCAGACTTTCCTAGAGCCTTTAGTGCAGCGGGATCAGCCTCAAAGAGCTTCACTTGCTTGAATCCATTGTCTTTCATGAGCTTCACAGTTATTTGAGGTGGAAGAGGATGAGTTAAACGCGTTCCCCAGTTGCAAGCAAACCCAAAAGCACCCTTTGCCAAACCTTGACTTAGAATGCATAATGCTAACAAAAAACAGGTACTAAAATGTTGGAATCCCATGTTGTCTTTGTTTCTACCTCGACTTACCTTTGTTTCTGAGGACCCTTTGCTCCAACACTCACCTATATGAAGATGATTATTCTCAGTAGAAAAGAATATATTAAACAAAGTGGAGGGAAAATGATGTCCTTTTATTGAATAGAAAGTTACGTAAAGAATTGCATTTGGACTCAACAACAACAAAGCACTGGATTCCTCAACCCGTTGTGTGATACCAAGCCAAGGCATAACCCTTTTTTATTTTTGTTGGTAGGAAAGAAGAACAATCTAGGAAAGAAAGGTAGAATCAGACTAAAAAGCAACGTTTAGATTTTAATTCCATTTATTCCCTGCTGGGTTTTGGATTGTCTATGGATCTTGGCAGAATCAGATTGCACACCGAGCTAAGAAAAAGGAAATACTTTTTTATTTCATCGTCTCAAGATCGGTTTAACTTTATCTTATTGGTTTCCCCATTTTTATGTTGTCTACTTATGCATTACTTATTATCGTGCTTGTCTTAATTTTCTCTTTTACAACTATACATATGACTAGCAGAACATCGTGATTCAGTAAATAACAACCAAGACAAACAGTGAACGGGATGGCATGTTTGTTTGTTTGTTTTTTTAAGAGTGTAATTGTTATTTTTATAAAGAAAAACAAAAAGTAATATAAAATTGATAAGTATAGTTTTTTAAGACAGTTTTAAAAAGTAATCACAAAAGAAATTGAACTCTTTTTTTTTTTTAACTTACAACTATAAATAATCTAAATGGACTATTCTGCACTAAGTTTTTTTTTCTAGTGTTCTTTTCTTATTTCAAAAGCTAGCTTTTAATAATTGTTTTATTATAAAATTATTTTTTTTAAATAAGAGTGTCCCTTATCATATTTATATTTCATTTTTTTTTATTTTCGCACAAGTTAACAATTAACTTCTCATCTGAAATTTATTTTCAAAATAACTAATTTAAAAATACCTAAATACGTCTCTGTCATCTTTTTATATATATATATATATATATATATATATATATATATATATATATATATATATATATATATATTATTTGATATATCTCCTTCGGCTGGGGAAGTTGGGACCTAGATTGGGGTTGTGATGCAAGTGTCCTGTCTCTCAGAAAATTCTCATCCAACATGTTATTGAATGCTCTTGGTGCACAATGGAATGGCCACAGTTGACATCCGATGGACGATGTAAAAGTGCTCTCGTATGGCTAGGAATATTTTAGAACACTGATCTCCGAGTAGAGAAACCATTCTCACCTATAAAATAACTTTTTATTTGTTGTTTTTCAAAATTAAAAATAATTTTTAAAATTTGAAAGCAAACAGATTCTAAATCTCAAAACATAGTCAAAGACACTTGTTGATTTCAGTTCAAATATTTGCAAAGTACTGTCATAAATGAGCATATTTATACTAAATTTGCATGGTGAAATTAAACAAAAAAGTATTACAAACTACTGTAAATAAAATAGTGAGTTCATTGAAGTCTGGCCTTTAAATTTAAATTGTGCAATTAAAACCCTTTAATTATTTTAGTTAATTAAACTCCTGCACTTATAAAATCAAGCAAAAATATTTCTGCAATTAACTATATTCCACCAAAAATTATCTAGTGAAATAAATAGCATCAAATCTTTCGTTTAAATCCTCTCAAAGCATTATTTTCACCATAAAAATAAATAAGCCCTTAAATTTTCTCTCTTAAATCCTATTGTTAGACATTGTAAAATACGTGGAATTTTCATGAAATTGTCTAATTCCCAAAGCTTAAAAAATGCTTTATATCCAAAATTATTTGGGGGCCTTTAAATATTTGAATATGAAGTAATAATTTCATAATTTTAAGTTAAACAATAATGAACACGTTATTCAATTTTAAACGTACAAAAACTAATCCAAATAAAATGAAAATAAATTATATATGTTTAATTTAAAGAGATTTTGAAAGCACAACTAAATATTTAAATAGATTGAAACGTAAAGAGAGTAATCGTGATTAATAGATATGCAGAAGGCAAGCATGGGGTTCTTTTCTTACGACGTCTCATCTGACTTGTTTTTATTCAAGTTTACAAATACAACTATGAATTAGCAAGATTCAACCCAACTTGTAAGATGCGTACGAACAGTCGTTAAAATGCAAAGACAGTGAGAAATCAAATCGACATGTCTATCTATATTTCATAAAATGAGGTCACGTTCGAGATTCACGAGACTCCGAAACCGTTTCAACAATCAACTGTAAAGGAGAAAGATCCAAATAAAGGCCTGAAGTCTGAACATGTCTCCAAAAATGAACTAAGGATCGGGTAAGGAGGAGGGATAGCTGCTACCTGTTTTTTTTTTTTTCATTAGTATACATTATGGATGGCATATAATTGATACTCTTTCTCGTGAAAGACACAAGGATTTCACATAGTATACATCTATTATCATACAACAAAAGACTGATACGAAACCTCAATCAGAGCTTTCACCTATTGTCCAAATACTGCACAAACAAATTGAGTTTAGTGCAACGAATATTGGGAGAGGTCAGATGAAACCAAAATTACATTTCTATTGCCTTTCTACAAAACTGTTAGTACAAGCACAAAATTTCCATAAAAAGATTAATACAAAAAAAATGCTACCATATTTCTTCTTTCCAAGCCAGCTAAAACTGATATCGGCAATACCCTGAAGTTTATATCTGAGAATCCTAACAGCGGCATTATGAGACGTTTATGGTAAAAGTGGTTTCAGTTGTGCCTGGAATAAATCACCAAGAGCTCCCCGGACATCCATCTGTTCAAAACCAAGGATTATCAGTTCATCACACAAGGTTTCCTTTCTTAATAACATCCATCAGCTGTACTCAGAATAAACCACCCAGAGCTCCCCCAACATTTACGTACGTTATAACGGTGTTGGAGTATTTTTCTTCCGATGACTAACATGAAAAATGGCATGTCATGAAAAGTTTTTTACATGGAATGACCCAAACGTAGTGTAACTATTTTTTTTCAGGGCAAGGAATAAAATAAGTGCGATACCAAGTACAAACCATATATAACACTTATAACTTCATTGGATAAAAGGACAGATTCGTAATAAGTTTGTCAATGAAGATCAAACTATATGGATTTTATATGCTAGGCTAAAACGAGAATCGATTGTCTGAGTAAGAACCATTAGTTATAGAAACAAAATAATGACCAACAAAGACATACACCTAAAGGAGCCAAAAGCCTATCTTTCCATCTTTAATTTCCAGGCCAATTCTGATGAGATTTAAAGTATTTAATGAAATCCTATTCAACTATTCTATTTTTATTCACACAAGCATATTATGTAAACTAACGAAATAATGACGTAGAAAACATACATATCGTAGCAGCAGCTGAAGAATCACCAAAATTACTTATCAATTCAAAATAACTATTATTTTTCTTTCAATAAAGTACATTGAAAGATAACTGGTGAAAATCAATTAGATTTTTTATGTTTGACCATGCCTCATCACTTCTAATGGTATACAAAAATATTTCCCATTTTATACGGTGAGCTTCCATTCCCTTGAATCTCAGCCACACATTACAGATTCATGATCAAAACTATCAATGAGAAGCAGCTTTGAATAATTGTAGAAACAAGAAATTACCTGGTCACAGCAAACAAGTTTTGTTAGCAAAGGGTAGAATTCCCTTAGGTGTCTTCTGAAAATCTTACTGTTCATAAAACTCATACTTTGAAGCACCTGCAAGGTTAATAGATAATTTACTACCACAGAAATGAACACATAAACATAAACTGCAAATAATTTCATTCAATTAGATTGAAAAGCAAGCAGGTAAAAACTCAAGCAAAGCACCCTTTAATTGATTTTGTTATAGAAAAGAAACTTGAAAAAAGGAAATAAAGACAGGGGTCAGGTATTCAAAGCATTTGAAAAATAATAAGTAAAAGAAAAAAAAAAACTGTAAGAAATGAGACCAAAACAAGAATGCGGAACATCCAAGCAGTGTTTTTATATGTAGGACATGGCAAATCCCTTAAGACAACTGTTGGCAGAGTTTGATTATAAAGCAGCAATTTTTTTAAACTAGCAATACGTGCCAATCAAGAGAGATAGCTAGAGACTTGAGAGTTTATACTTCGCATGAAACGAAAGAGGACTTGTGATTTTTTTTTATTAATACGAAACCCACATCAATCCACAAATACATTATTTCTATAAATACTATTTGAGTTTAAAGATGTGGTCCACGTCAGTTTATGCAATCTACAAGCAAGTGCCACATCGTGGTAATTTGGCTATTCATCAAACAATAGAAGCTTAAAATGGTGGCACAATCTGAATCACTGGTAGTATAAATTATAAAATCCTAATAATAACTCTTGAAATAAGTTTTATTCACAAAATCGGCTGCAATATTTTCAATATGCACTAATCAAGTATATAACAGGCAACACTATGACACTGAATAGAACGAAGGTTAACTTCCACATATTATCATGAAGAATAAACTTCAGACCTTAACAATTATGGGAGCACGCAGTTCCAAGACTCGATGAATATCCATGTTATTGGCTTCTCCAGTACTTGACTGGAGATCAGATGCCTCCCTGAGCACCTGTTCACAGAAAGACACTAGTTTCTCCTCAGCTAACCTTTCAAATTTCTCTTGTGCATCAGAATCTTGAGTAATGCCATTAACTTCTCTAGAATCCGCATCTTGAAATCCATCAGAATCTGTACTTTTTTCCTTTTTTGTTTCAAAGCCATACGTAGCTTTGTGTAAAATATCGAGATATACGCCAGTACCAGCTAATTCCTGACGAAGAAGATTTATTGGTGGCCTGCCCAAGAATAATTTAGTGATGCTTGAAGTCCTCCATTTCAATGGTAAAGAAATTCCACCAGAAAAAAAAGAAGACAATTAGATACTGAGTTTTACATTACCTTTCATCAGGAATTTGGTGCATTCGAGTTCTAAGATTGGTGGATGAATTATATGAAGCAGCAAACTCCAACAAAGACAGCAAAATGTCCATTATAGAAACCTTCTGTGGTGCTTTTAACTTTGCCCAATATTTCTTCTGCAAATAATTAGAAAAACATAGTTTGAAATAGATATTGAAGCTTCCCTCTCCATAACTGACGTTGGTCATCCCAACCATAACAAGACAAATTCCATTGATTATCAAACTTCCCATCAAGAAATTTTTTGCTAGGCTAAGGTGATGGGTTCCCAAGCTCCCTACACCGCCAAAACTATTTCAAGACATGGGTCTCAAGTTACATTTTCCATCTTTTCACCATATACACAGTGTGAAAGAAGTACTACTTCCTCACATTGAAATTTTTCTTAAGACTTTTATGAGAGGAGAAAAAAGAGGGAAAACCTTCCCCTTCCCCTTACACAGATTCTAAGCCATTGAATAGTAGGCAAAGTCACAAAACAGTTCACAAATATTTCTGATAGAAAAACCTTGCAAAAATTATAGATTACCTATCTTTTATCAAAAGACACACAAATTTAAGGGAACCTAAAAGTATGAGATCTGAACAAAGAGAAGAAATAAATATACAAACCTGAATACCATCAATTGCACCTAGAAGCAATAACTGTGTAATGCACTTTCCCCTGACAGTTACCAGCAAAGGACTCTCCTCATTCTTGGTATCTGGCTCTACAGTATCAGCAACCTAAAATGAAGTAACATAAGAGGTGTATTCACAGGATAATAAAAGTCAGTTAACATTGCACTAAAGAAAATATGATACCTTAACTGGAGACGATGGTTGAGAAGCACCAGAGATTGGGCTTTTAGATTTTGTAAGATTTCGAAGGAAGAGATTTTCCATATTTCCCATAATCCGTTGACCCAGGGTTTGACTCCGCTGGAAACCTCCCCCATCTGCAGACTTGGGAGTTCTTCCTGATGGAGATGGAAGACCTACAATAATAGACAATTCCTTGATGGCATTAAGCAAATTCATTTTCTCTTCATTATCAACTAATGCCCAATGCATACTTCATTTTCCAATTTAAAGTAGTTTCTCCCGACCCACCAAGAGATTTGGGGATTTTGAATGAGATATTTCACCTTTTTTAACGAGCTAAATTTGATAAATCTATTTGATAATTGATACCACTACTCACTTTTGTGCCTGAAGACATGAGCATGCTTCCACACTCACTAAACTATAAAAATTAAAAAAGAAAAAAACTAACCTTCAGACTGATCTGCATTTGTCTGTGATGCAGAATCTTCAACTTCATCAGCATTTGTATTTGAGGATGCCAAGGGGGACAATTTCCCGTTACTATTGACATTATGTTGATGGTCACCCATTACCTCATTGTCAATAGAGCTGATGGCACCACTGTCCCCTGGGTTGCCTTCAGAATCACTGATAATGCTTCCAGGGTTTCTCGCATTTTCAAAAGTTAATGCATTAAGCAGCTCTAGAGGTTGGGTAGTGTATGAAGCATCTCTGGAGATAAAGATTAAATTAATGTTTTATTGTTGATATTAGATTAAAACGGATGTTTAGAAAAAATAAATAAATAAATAAATAAAATGAACCTTATGCTTTTAAGTAATGTATCCCAGTCAGTCTCACTGAATTGGTGTCCACCTACTTCAATGAGATGCACCAAAGCACCAAGAGATATTGAGACCACTGTTTGATCTGTTTTTTTTGCACAATCTAACAGCAGACCCAGTAGTGGAGGCAACATAAAACAAACCTCCTGAAAGAAAGATTCCTCGTGAGTAATCTTGTTGATATTAAACAGAAATCATATAAAAGCCGAACCTGAATTTCATACATAATTTAGAAGATAACCCAAGCATCTAATCCAAGAAACTAACAAAGTCAACACAGACCAATTTTCCATTAAACTGAAGACCATGTTTAATAACTTAAAAAGCAAAATTTCACTTGTATGCTTCTTCAAGTTACAAGAATAGAAAAAAAAAATACTGTTTTAGTCACCTTGTAGAATGTGTTGAAAAGGTTGCATAGCAGCTGAAGCGAATGTATGCTTGTTTCACGAAACCAATCATCATCAGTGGAAATAAAGCTCTCTTTTCCAGCATGTCTCACATGATCAAAAATTGGAAATAGAACTCGATGGAAAATACTCTCCCAAAATGATGTGGAGAACTTGCTACCTCTTTCATTCAATAAATCAAACAAGACTTCAAGTGCACAACTTCTGACCTCTGGCCTTTGATCCGATGTTAGATCAGATAAACCAGCCAACATGGGGAACCAATAATGCTCAGTTACTTCCAAAGTTGTATCCAAATTAGCATCAATAGGCATTAAAGCACCTCCAGGAATAAGGCCCTTAAGCAGACAAACAATTAAAACCACTTAAGGAGGGAGTATCAATGCAAAGAAAGGAATTAACTATTGACAGTAACAGAATAAACAGTTTCCAAATCCTGAAACAATGTACATTTAATCACACATTACTCAAAATCATGAGCTAAGTTAGTAAACTCCCTTTAGTTTTCCCATAAATATCAGTTATGAACATTGGTAGATATCAATGCAATATTGGCCTGAGCTTTTCATTTTTTAACTCTGAAATGTCTCATCTTGTGAAAATATTGAGCATTTGAAAAATAATATTAAGACAGTTTAGCTTCCAACATTTTACATCTCTGCACTGAGATATCAAACCCTTGTTAAAACAAGTAGGTCACAGAGAAGTCTAGTGGGCCAAACTTACTGGAGTTTGAAATAAACATCTACCCATTTATTTCTATTAACGTGTGCACAAAACCTTCAAATTCAGAAAAGCAATTTCCTACAGATAACTCAACAAACCTCTGCAAGACGGTCCTCACAGATCCGCAGGAGTGCAATAGACTTCAAACTAATACGATGTGAGCTTTTATTGTTGGCAAATCTGATCAGACAATTCACGCAATCCATGAAACAGTCTCCCACTACTTGATCAAAGTGTTCTAAGATGACTGTAAAATTTCAAGGTGTTAGATACACCACAATTACAATAGTAGACTGCAAGCACAGATCAAAGAATATCATTCCTACCCTGCTCAACATTTTCAAATGCACTCTCAACAATTGATTCTAATTCATCATCTGCAGAAGCTGTAAAAATCATAAATACACTACGCCATCCAGACTTTATGCTTCCAACCTTAGATTTTATCATCTGCCATTGGCAAGAGTACCAGCTGAACTTCAGTAAATGTATTCAATGATATTAAGTTCAAATACAAGAAAATAAGAACCTATGCCTACACACCTGGACAATGCAGTCAACAATTAGCCTCCTTTTGGATTCACTTTGACTATTCCGCATAAGAACAACAAATGGTTTCAGAATATCATTTTGGAACGAGAACTTGGCCAGTTCAGAACGCTCCAAATACTTCATACTAAGTTGTCTTAGAGAATCTATGGCATACATAGCAATTTTCTCATCGTGATGACTCCCTGCTGATATAAAGTGATTTGCTAGGACAGACCAGATTCTAGCCCAGACCTTAAAAGCACGATAATTAGAGCTTAGAAATGCAGCCAGAGTAGCATCAGAAGGCAATATTATACATGGAATGGAAGGACACTAGCTCAACAATTAATGGAATGAAACCAAAGCTTGAAAGCATTAACAAATAGCTTGAGCAAAATCATAATTTCTAACCATTCCTCAGTAATCAGTAGTTATCAAAACATTCATACATGTGTACAGATATGTACACTCATTATATATGCATAAACCAAATCCAAATTTTCAATTTATTCTAGGAAACAATACATATAGACATAAAATTAACAATAAAAGTCTAATAGCTCCAAAAATAAAGCAAGCAGAAAAAACTGCCAAAAGCAACTTATAAAAAATGAAACATTAAAATGAATAAAATTAATGCAATTGACAGTTGATAAAAGATATACCATACGTATACGAGCCATATTGTAATAACTAATTTCCACAAGCTTCTGCAAGCTGAAGACACGAGCTGGAGTTTGTTTTAGCTCTTCAGCTGATACACCACAGAGAGCAGTGAAGAATTCCACAACTGAATCACTAGGTAGTTTGACACTATTCATGAAAACTTGTTCAGCAGGTTTCCCAGCTAATTCTCTCAGAGATTGAACAACAGCATCCTTGGAGATTTGATTTGACCCATGCATAACAGTAGCAGAAATTGAAGGAGTTGATGTTATAAATTCAAGGCGAGAAACACATTCCAGAACTGCATTCCATGTGTCTTGAAGAGCATTCATGTCTGAATCACACAGGACCAACAATGTGCGCAGAGCTTCCACATTTTTACTACGCATTTCCTTGGGGGCATGCAAGAAAGTAAACCTGAGGTGTCAAAAAGAAAAAACTAAATGACCCAGGTCAATTGTACAAAAATCAAAGTTGCTATTATGTATTCTCATTCACAAAGCACCATCATTCCCTAGCATGTCAAAATAAAAATAAAATGAAAAAATAGCAGATAACTTGTAATAATCAAAGCAAGACATTTTTGGGGATGTGGGATGTGGGATGACTGGGGAATACAGTAAAATACCTGACAAGAGATGTTAGAAATGCATATCTCATGGTATCCATTCCAAGCACAAAAGTAATATGTATACCAGCTTTAAATCCCTCCATCAACAAAACAACACGAGGTTTGTTATCGCTTTCCTCCATAGTTACAGAAAAAGTAGCAAGCAAAGGCCACCCAACAGCTTCAACCATGGGCCTTACAAGTTCAATCTGCTGGGCAGTGTAGAAAACTCCTCTTTTCACCCCTTTATTCCTGAATATAGCTTGTGTTTTCTTAATGATGGCCTCACTTTCAGACTTGGCATCTCCGGATGACTTTCTTTTAGGGAGTGCCAGGTTAAGAATACTGACAAGTCGTCCTTCTTCACCATCGGGCTTCTGTCTGCTGCTTTTTCCAATGAAAGCTGCTTCATCTTTCATTTTAATCTCTTCTTGGACAATGGAATCATAGATCTCTTCTAGCAGTTCTCTAGGAGCACATTCATCTGGATCATCCCTAGCATTCATGCGAACAAAATCGGACTTGGCCATCTTGGGCCACACCATTGGATTATGAGCATCAGTATTTAACATAATAACAGCATAAGCTAGCACATATGCTGTATCTGCATTTTTAAAAAGGCCTGGATTGTCTGCACAGTATCTGTCATAGACAACATGCACGAAAGACACTGCTATTAATGAGTGCAAAAGATATAAATTATCAGTACAGGTACGAGGTGTCATGTCCATGACACAAAGTATAAGAAGACGTAATATGCATGAAACAATGTTGAACTTGAACCGATAAAAATTGATCATTATGACATGACAATCAACCAAGATTTGACACCTCACAAAACACTGAGACATCTTCAGTCCAAATGAAGAGTGATAAATAGGACTGTCAAAGTGGGTAGAGCTTCCCACTAGGTAGGTTCAAGGAAATCAATAACTGACTAGCACATTTGTTAAACAAATGATATGCTGACAGAACATAAACTTCATAAACGCAAGAGTGATGATGCATCATTTTTGTGCACATAATCATCTATAAAATTCAGCCCTAAAAGAGATTCCAATACAGATGCATAAGTGAATACATCTAATTGTTCAATCAAAGTTCTACAGACAAGAAACCAATCACCACTGAGCCAAGGGGAAATGAAGGCAACTTCGTACAAAAAGGCCATTACCTCTCTGCAAACTTCTCCATGATCCGATCTATCTTTTGAGCTTCCCCAGGAAGGCGGAATCCTTTAAGGAACTCCCTGATTGCAGAATCAAATTTCAATCCAGAAAATTTCATTGAATCTACATAAGCATGCATCACAGCAAGGGGGAACTCTTCATGTTGACCTAAATAGTCACCAATTGTAGCCTGAAAGCAACCAACAATTACAGATTCCAGACTAAATTTGGATGCAGTGGTAGAACAAAAAAAAAATACTAGAGAAGAGTCGCAACCTTATCCAAATTGGGAGTGTTTTTCAAAAATTGAGCAACTGAAGCAGGTGTGTTTTCCACCAACTTATTTGATATTAGATATTCCACCCCCTTCGTTGGTTTTCTGTTGAACTAAAAGATTATTAAAACCGTATGTCAGCGCCCAACCATAACTTGATCATTATGCAAAAGAGGGTTAACATGAATTTCCCCTTCCCTATTAAAAAAGTTTAAAGAAAACATGATGTATACCTCAGCAATGGCAGCCTCCAATGTGGACTTATGGGCCTTAGCCTTCTCAAAATCACTAGTCACATCTTCCCTGACTCTTATTTCAGAAGAATCTTCAGCTGAGATCCCTTCTTGCTGATTATTCTTTAACTTTTCCAAATCCCTACGTGATTGCTCCCAATCAACCAGTGATTTAAGCACACTCACAAGACCCTGAGAAAGACAACCAAAATGGAATCAATCAGCAACTTTATCAAAAGCATCCATTCAACGACTTATTGATTTCCAAAAAATAAAAAAAGCAAGTGAACCTACCTGGAGTGATGAGCCTTTGATTGAAGCTGTTTGAGAAACAACAACTGAATTTGGATCAGCATTTTGAGTCCCTTGAGCTATTTTGGATAGAGTAGTAACCTACACATTGAATTAGAAAATAATCGATTACTATATTTATCAAAGAGGACACAACTAATTACATGCTGTGCATAATACCATAAGAGATTGATCGGTAAAATTATACCATTCGTTCAAACAAGTTTGGTGCCTCAAGATCACAATCATAATTCACAAAGATGTCAACAAGCATCTGTGGATCCTTACATACTTTTTCTAACATCCTGCAATCCCACACTAAACCACATTAATGAGGAAAAGGAATGACAATCAACTCAACGAGAAACTTTACTCACAAAACTTCATTGGCATAATATAAGTAATTTTTTTTTATCAAAAATGAAGAACATTATTATACCGAAGAACACTAATTTTTTGGTTGACAGGAAATTCCAAACCATCCAGTGGTCTAAGAACAATCAATGGAAAGAAGATCCCTATTTCACCCTGGAAACAAAATAGTGGAAAAACAAATGAGACATCAAATTAACATTATTTCTCTGCTCAGAAGCTTCCGCAAATTCTGCAGAATAACATGCATACTTTGAGACTCTCCCTGAATCGCAATAACAGCACCAAGAATATTCCAGTTGCATACTGCCAAGAAAGAATATTGATATCAAATTTTAAACAGATACTTTCACAAAGATAGATAATGCTGGTCAATAAAACCTGAAATATGACAGGGGATTGTGAAACTGAAGCTCGTAGCAGTGCATACGAAAGATACGCCTTCACTGAATCAATAAAATGGAAGTTCTTTGTAAATGAGTGGCTGACTCCCTCCAACAAACCCTGAAAAATAATATAACAAACATGTGACTGTGAACAGTCAAAATAATAGCTTAAAAAGCTTGAATACCAAATGTGGAAGAACAAGGATGGATTATTTGCTCCTATCCTATCTACTCCCATTTAATGCTAGTCTAGCCTTAGAATGGCAGAACTGAAAATTATATTACAGCAACAGGAAACGAGTTGTGTCATGTAATTTCTGTCCAACAAGTCATTTCTTGAAATACAACACCAGTAGCTGGTAGTGGTACAGTGGATTCTGTTTTTTTTTTTTTAGAAATTTATAAGACCTTGCTTGACCATATCTTGTAATTTTAGCCATTTGCTTTACATTCTGTCTTTCATTTTGAATTTTCTCTTGAAGGAATCTTTTTGTGGATACTTAGTGGGATTACATGGAAGCCTTCTCATAATTTTTAATTCATCAAAGATTAAAGTAATTACTAAATAATACTATGTTACTTCCAGATGCAGTCACCTTTTCCAACCCCTGTAGTTTCTATAACCAGTGTACAAGATTACACTCTCCTTTCACCATGTGTCTCTGGTTTTAATTTTAATGGATAATGTGGGAAATCAAATAGTATTTTAGGAAAGAATAAATTAGGAAATTTGTAATCTGTACAGATTTGAACAATTAGAAACAATCCCATAAATCAAAGAATCCTAGAATAAAATAGAGTTATTATATTTCTTAAAATAGCTTAGGTCTCTTGTATATATCTTATATGATCTCTTTGTATTAAAATAAAAAAATAAGATTTTATTTAATCTAATTTTCCAGATGGTATCAGAGTTTTCAATTTAGGAAGTTTTGTCTGCGCACTATAAACCTTAAGACGACAGCCTGTATTGCTACTGCATTTTTTTTAACCCTAAGACGACAATCCGCATTGCTGTTACATTTTTCTTAACCCTAAGACGGTAGCCTACATGGCTGTTGCATCGCACCTTCTTGCTATAATGTCAAGGGAAGAGGAAGTTGTAAACCCAATCCCAGAAACAGGGAATACCCAATCCCAGGAATCTGGAGAACTGCAGAATATCCATTATGCATATAGACTAAATGAAAGAAATTATTTGAAGTGGGCCCAACTTGTTCGTACAGTGTTGAATAGAAAGGGGGTAGCCGAACAGAAGAAAGGAGGATCAGCAAATGTGGAGAAGAAAGGTGATGATCTCTGGTATACCTACTGCAATAAGTCTTGTCATACCCAAGAGAAGTGTTGGAAGTTACATGGAAAGCCTTTAAATCGAGATCGAGAACGGAGACACAGAGGAGGCTCCTTAAGGAAAGCAGGACAAGTTTATGTTGCTGCTGAAACAAATGAAGGAAATAATCCAGAAGTTGTTGCCCATCTTAACCAAGAGGAGATAGAAAGGGTGAGAACCTTTCTTAGTAAGCTGGAAAAACCTACAGGAGTGTGTTCTTTGGCATGCTCAGGTAAGTTTCCACTTTCTTTTGGATTAAATGTCTCAGATACACCTTTTAACCATTATTGGATATTGGACTCTGGAGCCACAGACCACATGACATCACTAGCGAAACACTTCTCCACATATTCCCCATGTCCCAGCAACAAGAAAATTGTCACAGCAGATGGAACCCTTATAACTGTAGCTTGTCAAGGAAATATCCAAATCAATCCTTTAAAAACCTTAAAAGATGTTCTCCATGTCCCAAAGTTGTCCACCAACCTAGTCTCTATACAAAAACTTATAAAGGATTTGTCATATAAAGTTATTTTTTTCAACGATCATTGTGTATTTCAGGACAAGGATTCGGGAAAGATGATTGGACATGCTAGAGAATGGAATGACCTTTATTATCTCGAAGATTCAAGTTTGTCCAGCAAGAACATAATCTCTCACTCCTTCATATCTGAATCCTTGATGACCAACAGAGAAAAAAATCATGCTTTATCATTGTCGATTGTGACATCCCTCTTTTGGAGTGATCAAAATTATGTTTCCCTCTCTGTTTACCAAGTTAGATGTTGAGAGTCTTCATTGTGAGGTGTATGAACTTGCTAAGCACAAAAGTGTATCTTTTCCAATAAGTAATAGAATTAGCAATTTTCCTTTTTATCTTGTTCATACTGATGTATGGGGACCTTCTAATGTTCCAAATGTGTCTGGTACTCGATGGTTTGTCTCCTTTATAGATGACTGTACAAGGGTCACTTGGGTTTTCCTACTTAAACAAAAATCAGAAGTCAGTTTTCTCTTTCTACACTTCCACTCCTTGGTAAAAAATCAGTTTGGTGTTAATATTAAGAGGCTTAGGTCAGATAATGCCAAAGATTACTTCAATCATGTCCTTAATTCTTTTTGTCAAAAAGAATGTATAATTCATGAATCCTCTTGTGTCAAAACACCACAGCAAAATGGGGTCACAGAGAGGAAAAATAGACATCTATTAAATCAGACTCGTGCATTATTGTTCCAAAAAAGTGTCCCAAAAAATTTCTGGGGGGAAGTTGTTCTTACAGCAACATACCTTATCAATAGACTACCCTCTAGAGTTTTAGGATCAAAAAGCTCTAAGGAAGTTTTGTCGTCTTTCTATCCAAACCTGTCCACTACAAATAATCTTAAACCAAGAGTTTTTGGGTGCATCTCATATGTCCATATTCATAGTATAGACAGGGGGAACTTGATCCTAGAGCCTTAAAATGTATCTTTGTTGGTTACTCACCTACTCAGAAAGGGTATAAATGCTACCACCCCCCATCCAAAAAATTCTGTGTCTAGGGATGTTACCTTCAATGAACAAGAGGACTATTTCCATCAACCTTATCTTCAGGGGGAGAGTTTCAGGGAAGATAAGGAAAGTAGTAATTCTGGTTTTCCCATTTTTCCAGACTTGATATTTGAACCTAAACGAGATCAAATTGAAATTGTAACAAGTGGAACAAGTCAAGGAATTGGTCAAGAAAAGGAAGTTGGTCAAGAAAGTGAAATTAATTGTGAAGCTGATCAAGGAGATGTTGAAGCTGGAAAATTTGGTAAGAAGTTGGTGTACTCAAGGAAGACTAAGGTCATTCCAGGATCAAACCATGTTCAAGAATCCAACTCAACTCCACAAAAAGAAGTAGAAAAGGGACAAGAAAATGCACCAAATAGCCACTCTACCCTCTCTCAAATTACCTGTCCTTTAAAAATTTCTCTCCTACCCATAAAACATTCCTAGTAAACCTAACAGAAAATGGAGGCAAGCCATGGATGTAGAGATGGAGGCATTGGAGAAGAACAACACCTGGGAGTTAGTTACCTTACCAATAGGAAAGAGGTCAGTTGGATGTAAGTGGGTCTATACAGTGAAATACAAGGCTGATGGATCAATTAAGAGATATAAGACAAGACTAGTTACCAAAGGGTTCACCCAAACCTATGGAGTTGATTATTTGGAGACCTTTGCTCCGGTTGCCAATATGAACACAGTTAGGATGATATTGTCCCTTACTGTCAATTATGATTGGAACTTGGAACAATTTGATGTTAAGAATGTTTTCCTACATGGAGACCTTGAAGAAGAAATTTATATGGAGATACCTCCGGGATATGGTAGAGATGTTGTTGCCAACACTGTTTGCAAGTTGAAAAAGGCATTATATGGGCTAAAGCAGTCCCCCCGTGCATGGTTTGGCAGGTTTATTAAAGTTATGACAGGTCTGGGTTACAAACAAAGCCAAGGGGATCATACTTTGTTCTTTAAACATTCCAAGTCAGGGGGAGTAACAATATTATTGGTGTATGTGAATGACATAATATTAATAGGAGATAATAAAGAAGAGCAACAATTGTTGAGTCAATGCTTAGACAAGGAATTTGAGATCAAGACCTTGGGAAAACTAAAATATTTTTTGGGAATTGAAGTTGCCCACTCCAAGAAAGGGATATTTATATCCCAGCAAAAATACATCACTGATTTGCTCAAGGAAACTGCTAAGACAGCTTGCAAACCTGCTAGTACCTCATTAGAACCAAACCTAAAGCTTGGAAATGCAGAAGATGTTGTTGTTGAAAAAGATATGTACCAGCGATTAGTGAGCAGACTTATATATTTGTCGCATACTAGGCCAGATATTGCCTATGCAGTAAGTTTAATTAGCCAATTTATGCATAATCCAAAGGAGACCCATTTACAAGCAACCCACAGAATTTTACAGTATCTTAAAGGAACTCTAGGAAGAGGGATTCTATCCAAAAGGAATGGTAATGTGAAACTTGAAGCCTATACCGATGCTGATTATGCAGGGTCAATTGTGGATAAGAGGTCAACTACAAGATATTGCACCTTTCTTGGAGAAAATCTTGTGACTTGGAGAAGCAAAAAGCAGGGTGTAGTGGTTCGGTCCAGTGCTGAAGCGGAATTCCGAGCCATGGCACAAGGTATATGTGAGTTGCTATGGCTTAAAATCATCTTAGAAGACTTGAGGATAAAATGGGAAGAACCTATGAAGCTCTATTGTGATAATAAGTCAGCAATCAACATAGCCCACAACTCAGTGCAGCATAATAGAACAAAGCATATTGAAGTAGACAGACACTTCATCAAAGAAAAGCTTGATAGTGGCTTGATATGCACTCCATATGTGTCCTCTGAAAACCAAATTGCAGACATTCTTACTAAGGGACTGGGCTGCCACAATTTTGAGAAAATTATATCCAAGCTGGGAATGAAAAACACATATTCACCAGCTTGAGGGGGAGTGTGGGAAATCAAATAGTATTTTAGGAAAGAATAAAAAAGGAAATTTGTAATCTGTACAGATTTGAACAATTAGGAACAATCTCATAAATCAAGGAATCCTAGAATAAAATAGAGTTATTATATTTCTTAAAATAGCTTAGGTCTCATGTATATATCTTATATGATCTCTTTGTATTAAAATAAAAAAAATAAGATTTCATTTAATCTAATTTTCCAGAGATAGTATAATTTACTGAAAGAATCCAAAACGGAAATTATGCATCTATTTATCATGTGGGTAAAGAAATCAAACACTAGCAACAATGTTTGACCCAATGATGTGAGAAATATGGCTATTGGAAAAAAAAAATAAAGGCCAGCTGGTTAATGGACAAGATCAAGGGCTCAGAATGTGTATGCAGTATATCTGAAGAGATAAACAGGGAAATGGAGAGGCCAGCAGGACAACTTGCTGACTTGGCAAGTTAGTTATGCATTTGTGCTGGAATGGGAATTCATGTTTTAGGAGATGATTATTGCGAGTTGGGAAAGGGGGGAGAGAATAACGCTTCCCAATATCAATATCATATGCTAGCAAACCACTTCAATCTGTGATTGTCTTAGAATTAGTCACCAAGTTTACAACACTATATATGTAAAGTAGTTTCTACAATTTCTTTAATAGAAAGATGGAACATCTCAAAGAATGACAAAAAAGGACAAGATGTCATCCTTCCATAAGGCTCTGCATTAAATACTAAATATCAACAGGAAAAAAAAATTAATATTACAAATTTTATTTCCTAGTGTTGGAGTGCAATGGAAAAATGATACAATAAATCATAGGTTTTGTTAAGCAGTTAGCCAGCTGCAAGATGACTGTTATTTAGGTAGTTCTCTCAGCTTCTAACAACTATATGTACAATTCTAGATCTCAACCAAGGGTGACATCATTGAATGGTGCCAAGTCTATCACATAAAATGAAATGTACCAGGACAAGCAGGTTGACTCATAATTAGTAAAGCAAATAATAACTTTGGCATGACTACAAGTAACATAATATTCCAATGCATTATCCTCCACCTATTAACTGACAAGTAATAGAAGTTGAAATCACCGTATGACCTGAAGAAGCTCAAGAGACAATATTCTCGTCTTGGTAGTAACTTCGTCATTATCTTCCTTCATACCCATCTGCAAAATTTAAAGTGCAAAGTATATTTAATGTCCAGAAGAAATTAACCACCATGTTGTTAAAGTGAGAGAACCAACCTTGCAAAGAGTGCGGAATACCAACAAAGCGTCGCGTTGTACTATACCCATACTCTCCAAATCAATCCCACTTTACAGAAGTAACATAAATAGTTAAGCCACTATTCAGAGTAAAGCATGCAATGGATATCCCAAAGTACTATATCATATTCATGTTTTATACCGTGTTATCTTTTTACCATCTTCGGTATGCACAGCCTTGTCCAGTACTGCTTCTAAACCCTATACAATACACAATCTTGTAAAAAAAGGACATGCTATGGGTTTAATATATAACTATACAAAGGATTACCTTGATATCAGCACCCCCAGCAAGATTTTGAAGTTCCTCAAGAGATGTCGGTGATGCATCCTTGGCTTGAGTAAGTGCATCACCCAAACTCATTTCCTTTTCGTTTGAGTCTCCCATCGAAGATTCATCAGATTTTGGGTTCAAATTATCTGCTGAAGCTGCCTTTGAAATTGTTTGGCCACCAGAAACAGATGGAGCTTGAACCTGGAAATTTTGATGGACGTTTAAAAAATATTTACTACAAAAGCTATTACTCAAAAATGCACTTAATAGGAATTTTAGACGCCCCACCGGATCAGTTTCCATTCTCCTGAAAATGATGCTGATCATCTGTGTCAGCATTGCCTTTGACGTTGCTTGGTTTATAGGGCTCTTGCTACAAATCCAAAACAATGAATCTCAGTGCTATAGATTAATAATAATAATAACCCTTGAAGACAAAGGAACGATTGATACCTATTCAGAGCAATATTGTAGCATACTCTGATAACTCCCAGTAGAGGTTCGCCATGTACTAAATTATATAAATAAGAATTCAAAAATCATACCAAAAAAAATAAATAACAAAATATACAAACATATTAAACAGTAGAGGTTCGCCATGTACTAAATTATATAAATAAGAACTCAAAATCATATAAAGAACAAATAACGAAATATACAAACATATTAAAAAAAAAATCAGCACATAGCATCTTAAAATACATCAATGCAATGATAGCACAAAGAGGTTTCCTAACCACAGCACCAATCTAAATGATTATGCTGACATGGTTAAAGGACAGTAAAAGCACAACAAATGTATGTAAGACCGTACCATTAATTTGTATACAACACCGGTCTAAGTGTCAAATTGTACACATGCTTAAATAATCCATTGAAGAAAGCAAAAATGTATCAGTAAGCTGGTCTTTTCTATTAATGAAAATTTTCTTTTTTCACCTTTCCTTGACACAACAGTTTGCTATCTTTCCTCATGCCTGATTGGAGATTGCAAGTCCCAACTTCCAATTTCATAGTACTTGAATTTGATAAAAAAGGGGAAAAAATGAGGGAAAAGTATGTTTTTGATTGTCGTATCTTTTTCAAACTTCTCTTTGGATCTTGTATTTTCAAATTGATTGATTCAGTCCTTCAACTTTTTAAAATACGTGATTTTAATTATTTATACCTAAATTTAACATATAGTGATGATTTTCAACCATTACAAAGTTGAATAAATAACTAAATTCACATAATATATCATTTTAGACATCTTTATACCTAAATTTAACAATTAGTCAAGGTTTTTCAACGACACAGAGTTTATAAAATAACTAAATTCATATATTTTTCAAAGTTTGAGAACTAATTGATCAATTTTTAAAGTACAAGGACCAAAACTAAGTTTGACGAAAAATATAAGCACCAAAACCATATAAAATCCAAAAAAAAATGTATAATAAATAGAATGAAGAGAATCAAGTCAAACAAAAACCTACAGGCAAGCTGCAGAATCCTGAAGCCAGAAAAGCATAAATGGGCATAGTGTACCTAGCTCATTAAACTATCCCAGCTCATTCTTCAAACAAGTCAACCCATAAATGATCGCCAAGGCAACATGACATCATAATAACTATTGTTACCTTCAATTGCAACAAAACCCCCCACTTTATATCCCAAAAACATATGGCAAAGGAAAGAAAATCTAAAATAGAGACACTTTCCCCGAAGAGTTCTCCTCCACCCAAAGTGAGAAACATTTTCTAAAGGTGGAGACACAAGTGGTTCAAAGGAAGTGAATCCCTGAGAGATATACATCCAAGACAGAACAAAAAGTAGATTAAAAACCAAATTCAACATAAAAGCTCGCATAAATTTCTCAATAAAAATAAAAACATGATTATACGATATATAATAACCAAAAAAATTAAATTGGTCTGAAATTTTTCCTTGAATAAAAATGCATCCAAACCAAAGTAAATAAGTCATTCAGAGAGATTGCATGCAAAACTAAGATTGTACTAAGCCTACTCTTTTGCCATGGTTATTTTGTTTGGGTACATTGCTATTGTTTTCCAACAAACTCTGCTACGGCATAAGATGTAAATTATGCTCCTTTAGCAAAAACCCTCTTCTAAGCTTTAAATAAACATTACTTTAATAGTTTAAATACAAGCGAAGATTTTTTAATTTACCGCACATTATAGAGTTTTGAAGAAACATTGCACAACACGTTGTCAGTGTTAATGTTCCAACATAAAACTAATTAACAATATAGAGTAGTCTAACATGTATTTAAACCATATCAAAAGACTTGAGATAGGCGATGTGGGACTTCCAATAGTCAGCAGACATACATAACAAAACAATGCATTCTTTTCAACTACGATAAACATACCTCTGAATTTTGTAGAAGCCACGGCAGTAAGAAGAACTTTTAGCACTTGGAGAATGGTACTGCATGGTGATTCTTAAAAATGAATAGATGTGACAGGATATATACGCTTAGTAACAATTAAAATATGATTAGTGATTTGCATACCTGTCAGGTGATGAATTGTCAACACAACTGCAAACCATGTTTAGAATGTCGGTAAACAATGGGACATTTTTACCACCCTCTAACCCAGGATCTCCCTCCAAATGGTCGTACGCAATAAGTTTCTGTATTCACAATACTTAGGCAGAATAAGTAATCAATTTAGTATGAAAAGTGCAATACAGACAGTCAAATAGTGCCAGTAAGGTATGTACGTACATGAAGACAATCCAAAGCAGATTCAAGGATTTTCAAGTTCTTAGTCTCAAATGCAAGACGAAGAGGATTTAAAACAACTTCTGCATCAGCTCCTTCAAGTATATTCCCAGCACTAGCCAAGACAACATTAATGTTTCCAGTCTTAGGCCTGTCATTTGAAGCATGCTCAGCCTTCTGTGACTGATCTGCTTCTGTCCTAGTTGCCACTCCATCATCAGTCTCATTCGCACTAGTGAAAAACAACATAGTTCAAATATTAAAGCCAAAAGCTCGATTCCACTTCCGCCAAATAAGGACTATTCATTACCCACTTGCCATAACTAAACTTACAAAACTTCCATGGACAATATCTCAAAACGCATCAATAACATCCTATATATCATCAATGTTTATTCCAAAACATCTTACCTGCCAGATTCAGCTGAGGGAGCAGCTTGATTGACCTCGCTCTGCTTTTTCTGGTTGGCCTCTTTCGTGATATCTGTACAATTACAGAGCACACACGAAACATAACTAAATAATCAACGATACTTCCTTTTACCAGTAGCATCGTAACTAGACGAACTAAATAATCAATGCGACCGGTCGAACATCAGAAGCGGATAATTATCTTGTCTAAACGGAAAAGAAAAACAATAAAATAGGATTAAAGGCATTAAATAGCGAAGGAAGAAGTAGAAACAGGGATCTAGGGTTGAAACCTGTGTAATTCTGAATAGCTTTCTGGAGTTCGGGAAACTTCTTGCCAGAAGACTCCTTGAGCATAGAATCGAATGCTCGAGTGACGAAACCCCCGGCGGCACCTCCGGCCATTTCCTCTCACTCTAATTGCTCTGCGGCCACGCGCGTTTTTCAGAAGCGTCACGGATCGCGGTCGGCGTGCAATTCGAAATCGGAATGTGGGCGAATCGAATTGAAGATCATCCGAAACGAAATCGTTCAGTCTGGGGGAATGTGAGTTGTCCGGCGGCGACGGAATTGGATGCCGGAGATGGAGAGAGAAGAGGAATTGAAGCCGGGAAGAGTGTGTGAGAGAGAGAGAGAGAGATCTGAGAAATGGAGAGAAAAAAGGGCGTAGATCTGTCTCTTAAATGTTTAATTTCTGTTTTGGTCTCGCACTGCCAAGACAACACTATTCCAACGATGTTGTCTACCCAAAGTTTAAGATTTTAGAACATAGCTCAAACCTCAATTTTGGAAGACAGAGGGGCTACTATGCAATATTCTTTTTGTTTCACCCCCCCGCTTTTCGATTTTTTTTGTCTTATCCCACGTTTTTGCCTTTTGGGCTAACAGTGTAATGGATCTGTGTTTGGGCTTCTACATGGAACATACTAAATACACTCCCCCTCGTTACTTTTTACAGTCACCTTTTGTTTTTTTATTTAAAGTTTATACTAGGTCACATGTCCCCAACTTTTTTAGTTAAGTGTATACTTCTCTAATATTAAAATAAATAATTAATATATCAAAAATGAAAAATAATTAAAGTGAGTGTGTTAAAAACTCCCACCTTTTTGCATTATCTGTATTTTAGTGTTTAAGTTTTTTTTTCCTTTCAATTTTTTTTTCTTCCACTCTCGTCTTATTCTAAGACTTCATTTTCAAATGAGATTGTATTATTTCTTTTGTAGAGTGACAACTTAGTTTATAAGTTAAAGATACTTTTTCTGATCCTTTAACATTATTTATTTTATTATTAATAGTTTATTATTCTTTGTTGTAATTTTGATTTTGTGTACTAATATTTATTTTTTTTAAATATATATTTTTAATTTTTATGGTTCTATAATTAAAAAAATAATAATCTATTAAAATTTAATTCAAAATTTAATTAGATTTTTATAAATATTTTTTAGCTTTAAAATATATTTTAGTTTTATTTTCTAAATACAAAACATAAAATAATAAATTAATTGTTCAAAAACAATAATAAAAAACAACAACTTGTGAAGATAAAAGTAAGACAAATTTAATATATTTTCGTATTTCAAAATATAATATTGATGATATAATATTCAATTAGAAAATTTTTATTATTATTAATAAAGTTATAATTAATAATTTTTATATTAATTATTTGGATAATAATCTCGTGAAAAATGAAGAGTGCATTTGGCAAGTACCAAGCTACTGTGGTGAAAAAAAAACCAATATGTATGAAATTAAAGAGGTGTTTATGTTGTTTTTTTTTTGTTGGTGTGAAGGTTAACTTTTTTATATATTAATATAGTAAATTTTTGTCCTAAAAAGGTAATATTTTTTTAGTTTTAAAATGATATTTCTATGTAAACCCTTAGAAAAAGCTAGGCTTAATTCATCTCTATTTCATAGACTAAAATACACAGATTTGAAAAAAAATTATCTCATTGTTATCACTCTTTAATCTTAATTAAAAATAAATTATTTATTTCATCTCAATTATCTCAAATTATTCACCACTTTGGCTTTACATGTAGATTTGATATTATAAAATTTTCTATCTCTTTCACTTTCACAATTCCATTTTTAAGTTGAGTTTCATTATTCTTTTATTTATCAATAAAAAAACTTATAACACTATTAAACTTGATTACTATAAGTTTAAAATATAATTGATATATCTAAAGATATTTATTTATTATAAATGTTAATTATACTATAATCCATACATTAAAATCATCTATTACAAATTTTGAAATATATAAAAATAAGAAAAATCTACTTCATCCAATAATAAAAATAATTAATCCTCACTTTAATAAATAAAATTGGCATGCATTTCTTCACCAAACAGTAGAGATCGTATTAAAATATTCTCTCGCTATTAAATTTTTTTTAAATGAGACTTTTGATAAAATTTAATATTATGAAATAATTAATATTAATAATGGTGCTAATAATATAATGTTTTGAAAAATAAAATGATGATTTGTATTGAACAGGGTGTAAAGTTTCCATTCTTTAATTAAAAATCATGGAATAGAACTTCAGATAGATACACAAGAGCTTACATAAGACATAGATTAATTATTTGATAAATGTATAAATAATTATTGAGTGCGAAAAAGTTGAAGATGACGTATTAAGGAATTAAAAAAGGTGTTTAGGTGTAAAAGGTTGAGACAAAAAATTGAAGAGTTTATACGAATTATGATTCAATTATTGATGTACATATATTAAAGTTTGGCTCAACTAGGCCCGCACTAAAACACAATACTTAATTAAAGTACCTCAAAATTAAATTAATATAACGTAACTAATTCACCTTTTTATTGAATAACTAAATCATTATATTCCAGGAAAAAAAGGTACTGCTTTATATGTAATATTTTAAATAAGTAAAAAAAGAAAAAGGGAGAGAAAAATAATATTACGATAATTACTTATTTTCAAATTAAAGGATATATCTAACTAAAAGTGTTCATTAAAATGGGATTTTTTTTTTCGTTGAAATAGATATAGATAAAATAATAATATATTATTGCATGTAGTTATGTTTTATTTTATTAATATTGATTGATATATAGTAAAAAAGGGAGAGTTAATTTTAGTCTTTTCCATTTGGTTTGATTTCGTTGACCCATTAAAATGTTGTTTGATGAGTATCTCGTTTTATAAAAGTTTTTGAGGTTCATTCGCTAATTACGAAATAATAATTAAGTGAAATCAGTTGCAATTTAAACTGTACAATAATTCCCACTACAAATTACTTCTGATTACTGGGGTATTGTGATGTTAATATCATATTAATTAATTGTGTCTCTTGAAAATCATGTAACACTTATTAAGTTTCGTTAATTATTTTATTATAAATAAAAACATTAAATGTTTATAATTTAGAGATTGTTATAGTTTGTTTTTATGTTTCTACTATAATTAAGATTGTTTAAAAATTTTGTTGAATGTATTTGCTTATTTTAATTAATTTGTGGAAAAAAGACTAGTGAGACTCACGTAGAGAAAAATACTTCTAAATTAAAAAAAAAATGTAACGAAAAAGTAATTGAAAGAATGTTTGTATTATATTTAAGAATTTTTGCATTTGTCTCACTCCGCGTGCAAACTTTTAATAAGTATTTCATAAAATTATAGAAATTATCTTCCTAAGACATTGCACTCATATTTTACCAATAACCTTTTTCAACACACTTTTTTACATCTTACATGTTCGTCTTTAACTTTTCAGTTATCACCACAACTCAAATTGATACTCAGTAAATACAATTTGTGAATCTTTAGTCGTAAATCACTATTTTTTACCATCCGCATTGAACATAATCATGGTTCTTTTAGCCTTTGAACGAGCCCATGAAACATTTGATATTTTTCAACTATAAATTGAACAATTGTCATGATTTCTAGTCATGCATTCACTAATAATATCTCCCGAGAAAAAATGTGTAATTAGGATTTACAAAGACCGTGTGACTGAGAGATCATAAAATAAATCATAACAGCTTAGAGAGGTAGTTTTGCTTTGACCTATTCATAACAAGTCCCAATACATTTATCAATCATTTTTCTTCTACGATTGGTTAATAATTTCATTGATTTAAGATGTCAAATTATTTGTTCTATTTATTTGTTTATACGATATTATTAAACTGTTGTTTACCTATATAAAAGTCAACGTAGTAATAAGATAATGTTTATATGGTTATATTGTAATACATAATTGATTATAAGAGACTATATAATCGATTATATCATACTAAATATTTAATTATATAGTTCTTTCTAATAGAATATGAGAATGCATACTTCATTAATTCATTATTGATTTCTTTAATTCATTAATTCATCATTGATTTCTTTAATTCATTAGGTTCAATATAATAATATTAATGTTAATTGTTTAAAAATTATTATTGTTTCATTTGTTAGATGATACATTGTTAATGTTAAATTATTAACTTCACACAACACATAAATTTAACAAAATGTTTGATTAAATAATCGTGAAATACTACATATTTATTTGTAGTAACGATAAGATGTATTAGAAGTTTGAAAAACAACTGTTTTAGAAAATAAGTAGAGTGAAAATTTGTCTCCGTCAATAATTTAGATTAGAGTTATTTTTTAATTTATAAGTAAATAAATAAATAAAATTTCACCTTTAAAATCACTTTTATTTTTTTAATAATTACGCGTTATACTTTATTTTAATGTTATTTAAATATTATATTTTTTTAAATCAAATTTTTGCAATGTTAAAATAAACAATAAATTATTATTAAGATAACAAACAAAATAATTTTTAATGTTTCTATAAAATATTATAAATTATTTTTATAATTTTACATAATTAATATACCTCTGATTTTATTTATAATATAAATTAATTATTTTGTTTTAAATTATATCACAATTGTAATTTTTATTTTATTTATTATTAATGGAAATATATCCATACATATTTTATATTATTATTATTTTTTATTCAATCACATAAATCTTATTATCTGTAATATTTTCAATCATTTTTTTTTTTACTTTATTTTTATCGATCCAAACAACATTCCTTTCCACTTTACCTACGTATATTAACATGTCTTCCCCTCTATCATATTTTCAATAAAAAAAAGTTCATTTTATATAAAATTTCAAGAGATGACGTTGTAACTTACGTAACTTTTTTTATTGGAATGACTTTATTATGTGTTGATTATGTATGATTCAGTGGTTGTCTGATATTTTACTTTTGTTTATCCCAATCAGTGAATACTTGCTCATCCTTTTATTTGCTCAAAAAGCAGGGAAACACAACATTTAACTATGTGAAAAATAGAGGTCAATTTTGACTATTAATTTTAGGGTAAAAAAAAAAATATGAAAAGATGAAAAAATAAAATTGTAAAATCATAAACTTACAAAACTTTAGGAAACCAACCGAACTCCCAAAACGATCCGGAACCGATGAAAACATAAACTTATATTTTTTCCTAAGGAAGCGTGATGTGACCAGATATAACCAAAATCATATTAAGTAAGCGTAAAATAACATGAACAATTTTATAATGTTATTTTCTCACACTTGTTTCTAAGGAAATAATTGCAAAAAAAATAAAAATTGGTCATTCATATAACACAGAATGATTCTTAATCAGGGTATTTTGGTATAATTTATTTGCGGGTCACGATCCTAAAAAAATTAATTTATTTAAGATTTTATTAAAAAAATTGTATATATTAACTCTTGGAGACTAATTTTTTATTCTATCCCTGTCGTTCAATATAATAATTATGGGAGATTTTGAACCCATCATCTAACTAACTTTTAATTTTTGAATCATTATGAAAGGGACAACAATGGGAAAATGTTATGTCATCTTCACTTTAAATATAAGATATTAAGTTTGTAAGTATTGATCATTTATATATTTATCTTTTTATTTTTATTAAATATAAGATTTTTACTCACTCAAAATATATATGAATTTTAAGATATATTTTATTCGATTTGAATTCGATATTTAATTCTGATATATTTTATTCTATTTCTTTTATCCATGATTACTTGTAATTGGAAATTAGAATATGTCCTATAAATTTAGCAGTGATTTGTTCTTTTCTTATGTTACTGATATCCATTATTCTATACTCTTGGTCAATAAATGAAGTAATGAATCAGTCGCTTTATTCCAAAAGCGAGAGAAGAGTTAACTATTATATGTACTTATCTCTATTGAGCCGGTGGACAGATTCATGCTTCTGAGTTTATCAGTCACAAACAAGTTTTGCGTTTAGCAAAAGAAAGAGGATATTCCTTGAAATATTTTTATTATATTATGTTATTCTTAGTGAATTACACCTAAATTTCATTACTCGCTCAACTCGGTGGAACTACATGCAATGCAGCACTTGATAAATAAAAAATGTGTGGAAAAAAGAGTCTTGAAAGCAAGAATAATGATCCCTGACTACTCCCCTTTGTGAGGTGTGACTCGTGAGATTGATCACAGATGTGATGGATAATGTGTAATGAAGAAGGAAAAACAATAGAAAAGAAAGAGTGAGAACGTAAGAGGACACTAAGAAAAAGGAATATGAGAAAATGGAGAAACGTGTGCTCTTAAACCCTTCAAATAAAAGTGATTTGTTCTTGCAGAGCAAATGGGTATTTTCAAAACCCAACCTTTATGCTCAGAGCCATTGAAGACTGTCTAATAATTTATCCAATCTACTTATGCGCGTTACACCTCTAGTTCTTATATATGAACTGCTTCTCCACTTCACGATCACATCAAATAAATTCTAATGGAAGAAATATGTTAAACAGTGAATTCTGATTTTTAAAAGTTCCTACAAAAACCACCGTTTAGTTTGAGTTCCTACTGGTTTATTTAACGATCGACGTGAATCGGTCATAAATCGAGTGAATTAGACTAGTCAATCCGATTTCAACAATATTTTTCAGTCTGACACACCGTAAATCGTGATCCAATTACAAGTACTAGAACAGCACAAGAAGGGCATTGTTCCTTTCACAATAATCAGACAACCAGAAGAATTCAAGAATCGAAGAGGGAAAGAATATAAGTGAAACGTGAAAAATATATGAATATATATACACACAAACTTGAATCTAGTTTGTGTCCTTGTTATGTTGTTGCAGGAACATACACAGAGGATAGAGAATGATTTCAGGTGAGATGAACATAACAAATAATGAATAATTCCCTAAGCTATTTTTTGCACAATCTAGAAAGAAAAAGAAACTGGTAACTAACTAACAAGGTAGCAAATCATCCCCAAAGAGATAGAGAAGTCTCTCCACAGCCCAGCTAGGCTGAGGAGGAGGGAGGGACGTGGGAGAGTTGTGGTGGCAGCAAGAACTCAGCAAAGGGGCTCTGCAGAGTGGACAAGTGGGGTTGTGATTCTCGTGTTCATGCTCCAACCATCGGTCTATGCACTCTCTGTGAAACACGTGGTAACAGTTCATGAGTTCCCGAACCTCGTCATCCACCTCCAGCTGGCTCAGACAAACTGCACACGTGTCCTCCGTCTGTGGCAGCCTCTCCTTAATCTCCCCGAACGTGGTCAGAACAAGGGTGCTGTCCCTGTCCCTTGTCGTCTGAGGACAAGATTCAGGTGGGGTATCTTCAGACCTTGTTCTTCTGTCGTTGATGAGTCTGAAGAGCAAGCACAAGACCCATCTCAGAACTGCAATGATGAGAGCTACCTCGTATATGGCCTGCCCTATTGTCAAGCCAGAGAGAGGGTCTTCAACGTAGAATCCCATTGGAAGCAGCTATGGATGATGAAACCGTGTGTGTGAGAGAGAGAAGAAAGGGAAAAGGGGGAAGTTGTAATGGGTTCTATGGCCTTTTTATAAAGCCGAGAAGGGAGTGGTGGTGTAGTGGAGGTTACTACTCTGCCTTTTCTTTTTTTTTGTTTCTGCTTTCTCTTTGCTTTCCTTTTACTTTCACTCACTTCTACGTTCTTTCTTGCTTTGCTTTTTCAACTTATCGTTGTCTTTTTTTTCTTTTTTTTTTTCATTGTTTTGTTAAAGATTATCCACCATCGTTTGGTATTTAGGAATAAAGGGTCACCGACTCCTCCTTCAGACTCTTCCGCGTGTGATTAGGGGCCAGTGTGAGGGATGGGTTAAGCCTTGCTTTTTTCAAGTAATCAAATGGGATGGTTACTCACAGCTAATACAGTTGCGTCATCAGGTATCATAATGGATCTTCAGATTCTTGATTGATTAATATCGCCATTTTTTTTTGTTTCTCTATATTTAGATATAACACTTCAGCACACCTGCAATGGCATCTCAAGAATTACAATCAACACACTTTTTTACCTTGTGTACTACCAGTGAGTGTTAAGAAATTTACAGTCTAATCTAATTATAAATCCTTATTTACAATAGATTTGTTAGAATTTTGATAAAAATTAGTTTCTTATTTGTAGATATTCACACAATAAAAAGGGTGTGAAGGAAGAAAAGAGAGAAAATAAAGCATGGATCACATACTTATTTTAATGTAGCAAATCAACGCGCTTTCAAGTTGCAAGCCTCTTGAAACATTGAGTGCACTATAATGTAATTTTGATTGACCATTTTAACTTTAATAAATCAATTGCTTAATGAACTTTTCCATGCCATCAATTTCGGGCATAATTGGATTCAGTTGTTAAAATAGTGGGATTTCTTAGGTGAAAGATAAAGGGAACAATAGTCAGGTTGCTTTTCACATGATCATCAATCGTCATAGGGGTCCCCTTGCATGTGTAGATTCCTAACATCCTAGTCAGATCCAACCTATGCACAGTTCATTGCTACATTTAATTAAGAAGTACGATGAACATGACATACAGAAAAAGGTGTTATTAGTGGAGGAGCGAAAGTGCCGGACTACGCCACAAAGGGAGAGCATCACAGTCCACTATGTCTCACTGCGTGCTACAGAAGAGAAAAGAAATTACAGGACATGAAATGGGATTTTCGTACCACAACATTGCTAAAACCCTTTAAGTTTAGAGTTCACCAAGGCACGGATGCATACTAAACAAAATGCTGAGGTCATTAACCAAAGAAATTTATAAACTGGAAAACTGCTTAATTTGCGTGACTGTATATTCAGAAAGATGAATTGAACCCTCTCTGTCACGGTTATACATAAGCAGGAATTTTTTGTTCTGGTAACACAGAACTTTTAGACAGTGGTAACATTTGAATTGAGGGGCACCGCATAAAAAGATGACCAATAAAGTAATAGATTGTTCATATGCTTTGGTCCATTGCTCCAACTTCTTCCATCTTTTTTCGCATTTGCTATTGCAATGTAGCTGGTGCACAATCTAAAGGTGTTTCTCCTGAACAAGAACAGTCAGTTAGGATTTTTCATACACCAAATTTGCTGCATATTTATATTTTTACGATCTTTTTTTACAGTAGAGCAACATAAAAAAATAAGTGGTTGAATTCCAGGAAGGAAAATATTAATTGCCTTGTGCATTTTTGTATTCCAGATTTGCCCCCGAATCCATGAGAGTGAAAACTATTTTAGTTTGATTGAAGACTGCAGCCTACAGAGAATATTAAAATTGGTGACCACTATATGATTAAGAAAATAGAATTGTTTTGATGCATGCACACAATCGTGACCAAACATTGGTAAAAGAGTGAGAGAGGTACCAAATGTATTAAAGACAGTCCTTGCTTGTCCTTGTAATTTGCATCCACACCCTGCACATTTCAGAATCCATGAATATTACTTCCAAATATATAACCCAGTCTATTTTGAAAGTGACAAACCTCATTAAGAAGTTTCTTAACAGCAGCAATGTCACCATTTTTTATTGCTTCTCTTAAACCCTGAAAGCGTCACAATTAATTTAACTTATGATTTTCAGCACCCAATATCGTTTACAATTTATACAAGTAATTGTTTAAATTCAAACAACAAAAACATTTACCTCTCCACTAACTTCATAATCAATCTGAGGTCTGGCTAAGGTACGATTCACAGAACTGCAAATTTTGCATCATAAACTATCAAATAATGATATAATAATAAAGCATGCAAGAGCAAAATTAAATTATGAATTAGAGGTGAATAGCTTATGAGCTTAGCTTAACATAATGAGACTCGTGATCACTTTATATATGTACAGTATCTTGAACAAATGTCAGTATACTAAAATAACGAAATTTTCCAGATGAATATATACTTCATCATTTCATCTCTCATATTCACAAGAAGGAATAGAAGAATAAATAACAAACAACCAGTATGCTGTTTATGGCTGGTTTATAATTCCACTCCAGAATATTTAGAGATAAATCCCCTCCTTAACTTTCAGGGAATTGCTTGCTTTTTCAGCTTTCGGGTTTCAGATGACGGGACAGGGAAAATGCCTACACCTTCCCAGTTACCATTTCAGCTCAGCCAAGGAAGACTTAATATACAAGAGTATTATGTCAGGTAAACTGAAATTCAATTTCACTTCAGCAAAAATAGATAGTTAATCAGTCCTTACCAAAATTTGCTAGTTGACTAGAGCTTCTATATTTCGGAAAAGTATCTGTTTTCTTAGGTTTAGGATTTGATGGAGGACCAACAATAACTGGGTTGGGTTTACTCTGTCACAGAGGATAAAGAAAAACTATGATTCTGTGGATTGCACAAACAAAAAAGAGAATATGAAGATGAGATATTAAGAATTATTACCTGTTGGGAGGGTGCATCAGAGGAAGGTGCTGGAGCTTCACAAATGCAAAGTGGCATTCCACACTTACACTCTTTAATGTGCTTGATACAAAATTATTATCTGCATTTCACTACTAGAATTTTTTATTTTTGATGGTATTTTTAATATTCGCAGAAATTTCTTACAGCGAAAAAAATGTAAGTAATATTTTACAAATTTAAATTTATATATAACTTTTTACTATATATTTAAATTTGTATATAATTTTTTACTATTTAAATTCAAATATAAATTCTTACTAATTTAAATTTATATATAATTTTTTACCAATTTTAAATTTATAGGTAATTTCAAATTTATAAATAATTTCTTGCTTAATTTTAGTTGCGCAAAATTTGTTTTGTCAATTTTAAGTTCACATATAAAGAAATTATAAATAAAAAAAAATTACAATGAGTTCCAATGAATAAAGAGAAAAATAATAATAATTTTATAATAGTTTATTATTTATTCTGTACAGTTATACCTTAAGATTTAATAAAGATTTTCACAACAAAATTAATGTTGTTACAAGTCAATACCAAAATAACCGTTAGGATTTTTTATGCGGTCAGCATGTTACAAAGGAGTTTATTTGAAAAACATGTTTATTTCCTTTTTTTTTTTGCTCATTCCTGTATGAAATGCGTTTAATTCACTCTAGTTTCTTTTCTTCGTCATCTTTCGAGGAAGTCAAGTTAATTAAAAAAATTTACGTTAATTGAATAAATTTACATGTGAGGGATCCCTTTGTGAAAATTCAATTGCAAAGTGTTTGTCATAGGTCATCTATGGTACAAAAGTATAATGATATTCTTCTAGTATTTTGGGCTCGACATCATAGTAGGATAACTCCTGTTCACTCTCTTTCGTGAGAATGTTACTAGGAATTAGCATCTAAAATCTGAAATGAAGACCAAAATATTTACAAATTAAACTCAATTTTTGGACTAATATGGACATGAAATGGCTACTGATCCTAAATCAGTATATTATGTAGCAGCTACATTTCTATTATTAGATCAAACACAAAACAACACATTGATATATCTTAATATCTATCATGTTTTTTACTTGACATTAACAAGCAACTCCATCCACAAAAGTATGAAACATCATTTTTATAATAAAAACTAAATTAAAAGCATAAACTTGTTATAGTAAAACTAAACATGTATTAGTACCACAACAATAATTTGATTTACTTCAAATTTTAAATGGTTGTCCAATCCATATCTTAACTGAATAAATAAAAAAAAAACGTGTCATTTATGTATCATAGAAGTATCTATAAGACACAATCATAACATTTAAGTAGTATTTCCATGCTTTATAAGTACCACGTCAAAATGATTAGTATCTTAGGGTTCGAGTCTAAATTGTTAGTGGAGGGAGTATCTCCTCCCACAATAACTCCATTCATAATATTTTTTAAATAGTTCCCAACCCAACAATAGAAGAATTACTTACATTTAATATCAATAAGTCTTACAAAGGTTTTTTTTTTGAGATATTATAATGATGTAACTAAAGTAAATCTACCTTAGAGATCATACGAGATGTGTTATGTACATCACAACCCTAGACAAAAATATTCACAACCTAAAATTGTAATTCATTAATATATTCTACATTTACCCTTCCCTACCATGTCTTGTTTCCTTCCATAATTATCCCTCCCAATAGAAAAAATATTCTAGCAACCAACAACTCTCTCTAGGTAAATGTATAAATGCTTCACTCGAATGCAATACAACATTACCTATTAAATGACTCTGTCTTCATATTAATTTCCTAGAGAAGACAACCAATTTAGGTTAACAATCTTAAAACTGCTAAATGAGATCTAATGTGCAGAATAGTAATATGTTCACTATCAAGGTAGTACTCTCTTGATACGCCTCCAAAAAGTTGTCTACGAGACTTTGAGGGGGTGTACCTATACAAACAAAAAGAAAAGCAAACCATTCATTAGATAACTAGATAAACATGATAAAGAAGAAAATAACTTAATATATCATCAAGCAGGTAAGAAGCAAGAGGTGTTTGGTTTATTTTATACTTTCATTTTCAGTTCATATGTTTTTATTATAATTAAGTGTATATGTGAACAATCTCTCTAAAATAGTAAGATGCATTTGAAGTTATTAAAATACGAGCTTAAACATATCTTATAAATATCAATTAAGTATGTAATACCTTCTACTTACAGTGTTCATTGAGAGATGAGATGATAAATGGAAAAGGTGAAATTGGTTGGATAATGTTTAACTCTTGTAACGAACAAGGAAAGACCCATTGTGCGTCAATGAAAAAAGAAGTTAAGGCAAGATTTAGATGGATAAAGAAAGCTTCAATGAGGCCATAATGGGGGCATAATGACATTCTCACAATGAAAATATAGTATGTGAACAATACACACTAAACGAAACACTTCACAAGATTAAAGGGTAAGAAAGTGATCCACTTAATTGGACACATAACCCCATGGGTTGCATTGTGCTTGGTGAGGTGGACCTAACATTTAGTTCTGGGGAAAACTTGATAGGGTGGGCAACAACAAAGACAATAAAGTATGATGATACTCACTTTAACAACAACAACTTGAGAGATTGAGAAGAAAACTAACACCCTAACAATTGTTGTCCTAACCTAACCATGAACCATTCATTTTTAAGCCAACTCTCTTGTAGTTGAACCAGAACCACCCCTCCCTAAACTCACAATTGTGAAACAGAGTTAAAATTAAAATTAAAAGATTTGAGACAAAATTTTAAATGCTTAATATATATATATATATATATATATATATATATATATATATATACTAACCTAAACAATAAAATAAATGAAGAAATTGGTAAGAAATGAACCTACAACATGATTTCCAACTTGGAGAACACATTGCACAATTTCATGATTAGTAAAACATACTGATACACTCTGTTGCAGAATGCTCAAAGGTTTTAACACTCTTCGAGTGGGTGTCCACTCCTCAGAAAATTAAGGGAAAGAGAATAATAGAATTTGGGGGAAAAAGGATCTTGAAAACTTTTATTCTGTTGTGTTTTGATTACATCATAGCTATTAAAAGGAATTGGGTGCTAACAATCAAGCAAAAATTAGGGAAATAAAATAGGAATTAAACTAATAATTTGCAGCAGAAATTTCAGAAATTAATTTGAGCATATCAAGATCTTCTAATTTTGTCCGCAGACATAATCAGTCATCCACGCTGGCTTCTTTCTTGCTCGTTTCCTTACTATTGGGTCATCATTCCTTATTGGGTCTGGGTCCACTGGTTGGTTTGTATCATTTTTCCCTTCTACAGAACTCACCTTGTCCTCAAGGTGAAAATCAGGATAACAAGTGCGAAAATTTTCCAAGTCTTCCCAGGAAGCTTCATCAACTGGACAGCCCTCCCAGTGCACCAAGAGTTGTTCCTGTGGTTGCCCGTGAACTAACTGCGTTCGCCAATCTAAAATTGCCCTTGGTTGATCAATAGGTTGGTTATCAAAGCTTTCCAAGGGTAAGTCACATGTAGACATCTTATCAGTACCACGAAAAGGTTTAAGAGCCGACACATGAAAAACAGGGTGAATGCGACTACCAGGAAGAAGTTGGAGTTTGTATGCCACTGTCCCAATGCGCTTGATGATGCTATAAGGACCATAGAACCTCTTCGAGAGCTTGTGGTGTTTCAATTGACGGACTGATGTTTGGCGATACGGTCTGAGGCGTACGAGAACCAAATCACCAACAGTGAGAGTGATGTCTCGACGATGTGCATTGGCCTTCTGACGCATTCTATGTTGAGCAGCAGTTAAATTTGTCTTCAAAGTGCGGAGTAATTCGTCACGAGAAGTTAGGGCATCATCCAATACTTGTATAGAAGTGGATCCCCTAATATATGCCGGAATGGTGGGTGGTCTTCGACCATAAAGAGCCTCGAAAGGGGACATTTGCAAGGAACTATGGTAGCTGGTGTTATAATGAAATTCGGCCCACGGGAGGAATGCAACCCATGAAGACGGTTTATGTTGAGTGAAGGCACGAAGATATTGTTCCAACCCACGGTTAACTACCTCGGTTTGACCGTCAGTTTGAGGGTGATAAGCACTGCTCATAGCAAACTTGGTGCCACTAAGTTCAAACAGCTTGCGCCAAAAAGCGCTAATGAAAACCGGATCACGATCAGACACAATGGAACGAGGGTACCCATGGTGACGCACAACCAAAGACACAAACAACTCTGCTACTTTGGAAGCAGACGTGGGAAAAGCATCAAAGTGAGCTGTTTTCGATAATCGATCCACAACAACAAGGATAACCGTGGATCCTTGAGAGGGAGGGAGACCCGTAATAAAATCCATTGTCACATCTTCCCAAACCGTCTCTGGAATCGGGAGAGGTTGAAGGAGTCCCGCTGGAACCTGCGTTGAGTATTTAATTTGTTGGCAAGTAAGACATGAGCCGACATACTCTTCCACTGCTTTACGCATACCGGACCAATAAAAATTGGCAGCAACACGAACTAGGGTACGTTTCACACCAGCATGGCCACCACTTGGTGTATCGTGAAATTCGCTAATGATTGTATGACATAGAGGAGATGTTGGGTTGATCACATAACGACCGGTATGGAAGAGGACCCCATTCACGATAGTATAAGGGTACCGGAGCAATCCCTGCATGTGTTGTTCACGAAAAGTCCGATAGAAAAATCGAAGCATTATCTTTTTGGAGCTGAGTAATAATACCATATGTAGGTGATGACACTAATGCTCTGAGTGCGGTGTGTGGTCACTCGTCGGCGGTCAGCCGACACACGTGAAAGTGCGTCAGCCACTTTATCGGAAGCCCCAGGTTTGTACTCGATGCGAAATTGGAACCCCAAGAGTTTGCGCACATACGACTGCTGTTCTGGAGTTTGTATTACTTGCTGAAGTAATTCCTTGATGCTCTTATGATCAGTTCGGATGACAAAAAAATGACCTAACAAGTATTGTCTCCATTTAAGAACAGATTCTGTAATGGCATGTAGTTCTATTATGTATACAGATGCAGCTTGTAACCAAGGAAAGTCCACCACAACATCGGGACCTTCAATGTTCAGGATAAACAAATCCACCTCAAATTTAATGTCCTGTAAGATAAGAGGGACATTATGGCAGCAAAATTGACAAACCAAGAAGGTTCCACAACCAGTTGCGACCTTGAAACGAGGGCATGGTTTGATAGGTAACCCCAATCGTTCCACTAACGCAGGCTTGATAAAGTTGTGAGTGTTCCCACTGTCAATGAGGATGGTGAATTTTGTTTGGTTATAAAGGCCGGAAACACGCAAGGATCGACTTTGGAGCTGGCTGGACAAGGAGTGAAAGCTGGATATGTCACCCGAGACATCATCTATTGAGTTATCCTCGGATTCCGGTGGGGGTTCCTCTTCATCCGCTCCCATGAGGATAAGCACGCGGTTTTGGCATCGGTGAGATAGGTTCCATTTCTCATCACATTTACAACAGAGACCTTTTGAACGACGGTCTCGGAGTTCGGCAGAGGGCATGTTCCACACGGCAGGGTTTGAGTGTGGTGTGGGTAAGAGTGGTGGTAACGATGTTACAGTATTGTTTGATGGGTTATTTGGATTTGAATTTGATCGGTTTGTTTGATTGTGGTTAGGTTGGGTATGTGAGCCTGTGGAGTGTTGTGGGCCGCGAGACCACAATTTGCCTATGGTTGGTGTGTCATCAAAACAGGCCTCATATGCTCTGGCCATGACGAAGGTTTCCATTAACGTAGCAGGTCGGTGAAATTGCAATTCCCGTCTCAAATGCTTTTTCAGTCCCGTAATGAAAAAACTGATCAGTAGTGATTCAGAGATACCGTTGACCTTGTTCATCAATTCTTCAAACTGGGCTTGAAAATCAGCTACAAAGCCGGTTTGAGTTAAATTGGAGAGTTCACCTTCAATGTCTTTGTACTGAGTTGGACCGAAGCGGTGGCGAACAGCGGTGAGAAAAATTGGCCACGATGGTAACAAATTGTTACGTGTTGCCCATTGGAACCAGCCAGCAGCGCGTCCGTCAAGATGAAAAAGGCTACGATCTGAAGTCAAGACTCTTCCGGAGTTTCGTGGAAGTTGAAGAAAGCTTCAATCTGGAAAATCCAATCCAAGAGATTGGAACCATCAAAATGTGGTACGTTTAATTTCAGCGCACGTGACGTCTGCCTGGCAAATGCATTCTGTGGTTGTTTTTTGCCTTCAACGTGTAAGTTTGCGACTTTCGAATCAACTTCTACCAGGTGTTGGTGGAGTGTGGAATGAACTGACTCGGTATGAAACTCGAGTAATTCGCGAAACTTTACCATCTGTGCATCGATATTGGATTGAAGGGCGCTCATAAGCTCAGTTGTGTCCATGATGAAAGCACCAATGATACACTTTGCTGCAAAATGCTCAAAGGTTTTAACACTCTTCGAGTGAGTGTCCACTCCTCAAAAAATTAAGGGAAAGAGAATAATAGAATTTGGGGGAAAAAAGATCTTGAAAACTTTTATTCTGTTATGTTTTGATTACATCATAGCTATTAAAAGGAATTGGGTGCTAACAATCAAGCAAAAATTAGGGAAATAAAACAGGAATTAAACTAATAATTTGCAGCAGAAATTTCAGGAATTAATTTGAGCATATCAGGATCTTCTAATTTTATCCGCAGACATAATCAGTCATCCACGCTGACTTCTTTCTTGCTCGTTTCCTTACTATTGGGTCATCCTTCCTTATTGGGTCTGGGTCCACTCATTGGTTTGTATCACATACTGAAAAGCCAATACGTAGATACAATCAATAACTCAATAATTTAAACACTAAACCCCAAATTTTGTAAGAAAAATTAATTGAAGAACAATGTTACCTCTTTGATTTATGCTCTAAATAAGAATTTGACAACGACGAGCTTGCAAACCACTACGATTCAAGAGATTTGGCAACCTCCTCTAAGAACACGTCAATCAATGATTCAGGGAGGTTGCAAGTGACAACCTCCTCTATAATACATTGATTAGTTGTTCAAACAACAATGTTGAGTAGAGACTCGAAATAACAATTAAGTGCAATAAAACGTGAAGGAATGAAGATGATTCTCAATTTTTTATTTTATATTTTAATAACTTCTCATAATTATAACTATTTTAAAAGTAAATTAATTTTTTTATGAAAAATAATAAAAAAAATTGCAAAAAATATTATTTTTTAAAATTTATTGTCATTTTTAAAAATATTATTAAATCTTCTTTTCATGAATTTTATTTATAAAAAAAATGGTACGGAGTCATTTTTATTCTTGTCAAATTTTTTACAAATGTATAATTGCAAAATAAAATAAAATACAATTATATAATGAAAGATAATTTTGCAGGAACTTCTTGTCATTAATTTTTGTAAAAAAAATCTTACATATTTTCTGAAAAAATAATTTTACAGATAAAATTTAATAACTTTTTATTAAATATTTTTTACAGAAAAAATTGTAAGTATTTATTGCCAAAAAATATTGTAGGAAAAATGAAAAGAATTTAATGATTGCTTAGTAGTGGTTGGTATGAATTTTGAATCAACAAGTGCATTAATATCTAATTTAGAAATGGTATCTGTCACACTGGTAGCTCCATATGGCGAACCCTGTTGTACATTCTTTCTAGATCTGTGCCACAGAGAATATGTAATTTATAAATAATTCCCAAATAATATTGATCTCAGTGTATAGAAACTAATGATATTTTCACAAAAAAGGAAAAATAAAATACTAGTAGAGGAAGATTGAATTGGCAAATAAAAGGAGAAACATAAACAAATGGAATGAAAGTAAATGGAATGGAAGTAAATAGTTGTCTGTGTCTACTAGCAAACTTAAATATTTGTTTTAATATTCTCTGTTTTTGTCTTATAATCAAAAGCCGCGAATATTTTTTAAACACCGTTCAGATTTTCAATAGATAATATTTTAAAAATAGAAGAATATTATAAAAGTTAAATTGTTATAAAAACTAAAATACTTAAAGAGGCTAAACTAATATAAATTTTATACTAGTATAAAAACTAAATTATCTAAATCTTAAAATACATTATATAATATAATATAAAGAATAATTTCTACAAATATTAAACAGAAAAATCTTATTTATTGTTCTTTAATTTATGTAATATCATGTTCTGATAATGAAGATGATAAATACTCATGTTAACATGCAAAATACATAAAGATAAATCAATTTAACAAATGTTGAAAGCAATTATCTCCATCTAATAATTCATTATACCTGCACAAACTATGACTTTTATCCAATACATGATATAGTAGTCATATTCAAAGGAGTATGCTTGTTTATTATATTGAATTGATAAACATAAACATAATGTTATTTTCAAAATTTAAATACAAACAATAATTATGGTGTTTATTTATATAAATAAGTTTTTAACCTTATTATAAATGAAGTGTGTATTCTTTGTTCTAGGTCTTTCCCTTAAAACATTAGTTTCTTACACAATTCTAATTGAAATAAAGTTGATATATTATTTAATATATATTTATACTTTAAAAACATAATTAATGATGAAAAGAAGATAAAGTTACCTCTTGTAATAGACTTTTCATTTCTTGACTTGATTTTTGGTACAATAAACAAAATCACACTACAGTGTAATCCTTAGGCATGATTATAATTAACTGTCAATGAGACCTGCATTATATGATATAAAAATTAATTATAAAATTAACATGATAAAAAAAATACAAATTAAAATACTAACCCTTCAATGTATGAAACCAAATATATTTTTGTCTTTATGAATCACTCATCCATGTTTACATGTATTATTGGATTTCTACTTTCGTATTTGTAGATTTTTGGATTGATTGAGGCTCAATAAATTCATATACTTTAGATTTTTCTTACTTCATACTCAATTTGTCAATGTACATAACATAATAACATGCGAGCTTCTCCCAAGAATTTCTAATGCATCAGGCAAAGAAATGTACAATGAATAAACTTGTCAATTTCAAACACTCTAGTCTCAACAATTTCAAAAATTCTCCAACTCCCTTTTCGTACTCTTCACTAATACGACGTGCATTCATTCAACTCCTATTCATATCTACCTGTTATAAATTTTCATCATTCCTAGAGATTTAAATACAAATTCATATTTAAAAAAACGAAATTAATATATAAACAACAAAAAAATGTGAGATTCAAACAAATAAAGAGTGAAAACATAAAAATGTAGTATATAAATCGTAAATGCACTCAAGCGAATAAACGAATAATCACAAACTACAACAATTCAATTTCAATACCAATTCAGGGAAGACATTCATATAATAACGTGATTGAAATTTCTATAAACAATCGCGAATTCAATTTGAACATAAAAGAGGAGAAATATAACACTAATCTCAAATTTAAAAAAAATGTTTTAAAACTCGAATTCAATCGGAAAGAAACGTTAACTACCATAAATGGAACACAATGTAATCACCTTAAATGAAAGACAATGTAGATGTTTTCGTTACTCACTATAATTAACTATAATTAAAATGTACTATGAGAGAAGTTAGAATGGTTACTAATATCATCATCACTTTAAAATTCTCGCAAGCTGAGAAGAAAAAAGCCCTAGTGAGATAAAAACACGACTTTTATGTCATATCATAAAGGGATTTACATACTTAGAAGTTGCTTTGTACTTTGATTGGAGGGCTACCCCGACGTAACAAGTAACTTTTATACCAGTCATGTGTAATTTACGTAAAAGTCGCATTGATTGATTAATTATGGATGTAACGAGAGAATTAGGCGAAGTAAAAAGCATGTAGTGCACATATTCCTAATCAATCCCTCTTCCGAAATCTACATTCTAAAGAATTACAATATAATAAAAGGTATTAGCATGTACTATTGTAATGATTTAAAAGCTCCTAACTCACAAGTGCACACTCTTCACCATCTTTTACTTTTCCAAGTGTCAAGTCTATGAATATGAGTAGAATGCATTCAAATCCACATTCTAAAGAATCACAATATAATAAAAGGTATTAGCATGTACTATTTTTATGATTCAAAAGCTCCTAAGTCACAAGTGCACACACTCTTCACCATTTTTTACTTTTCCAAGTGTCAAGTCTATGAATATTTTTTGAAGGAAAAATTGTTAGCCACTGAATATTACAGTCATCTGACGTTAATCTCTGAAGTAAAATTTGCAGTCTTTTCATGTTTCTGAAATACCACATATCACAATACTGTAATATGATCTTCACTAATATGTCTATAGATCTTGGCCTAATCGTAAGATAGAGTTAGTCTAATAAATTAACTTTACATAGAGTATTGCTCCATACTTTACATTGTTCCCAACGCAATGTAGCCTAGAAAAAACCTTCAACACTTAAAGTCTTACATCTGTGCTTGAATATATCACAAGTTAAACTAAACAAGATGGAAAGTAAATTAAATTTTCAGGTTACTCAATTGGTGCTAAACTGCTCATAAAAATAGTTCTAAATATATATTTTGTGCTTTTAGTACTAGCTGAAAAAGGCCATATGTACCCAAATGATACTTGAGAACAATAAAAAGCATACTCTGACATTTGAGTAAATGCCAAATTGTGGAAAAGCCTACACAGAAACATACGACACATGAAGTTAATCAAGGATAAGGCTGGCATTAATATCCTAAACCAAAGGCAAAACATCATACCATTTGATTAGATTAATGTTCATTGCACAATGTTCTCCCACAGGATCGACAATGATGCTGCATATACACATCACACACAACTATATAGATACTGCAAAATTATATATTCATGAAATTAATAGGAAAAAAACAATGAGAACCAAAGTAAATTAAAGTCTTTAAATAATTTCGTGTGGAAATTTAACATTTGAGAATTAAATATCTATACAAATTATAACACCTCTCGCCTTAAAATATTAGGTTAGGGCCTTCAAATTAAATATCTACAAAAAATCATAAAAAATGAAATACTTTTGTATAAATTAAAATTAATTTTTTACATGTTGAAAAATAAAAAAATTATATGAAGGAAAAAATCTACTGCATTTATAAGTTAGTTTTAACTTTTAAGAAATTTGTTTCATTTATTTGTCTTCTAAAAGAATTTAATACTTTGTTTTCCTTAACTGAATTCATTGACTAAAGATAAACAAAAGTCACTTCTCACATAGTATCTGCTAGTACCCGTCTCTCTATTTTTTCTTGAGTCTGGGGGTTGTTTAGCTTTTCTCTATCCCCATCTTTTCAATTAATTTATATTTTGATTGAATGAGAAAAAAAAATATCATGTAAGAGTGAAGTTGTGGATGGTGCCACTTGACTTAAAATGTTTTAAAATTTATCCAACATAAATGGTTTTTACATATAAAAGTTATTTATATTGTAATTAATTTATGAATAAATAGTTTTTTATTTTGTTTTATTTTACTATTATTCTCAGTATTAACTTAGATTTTGCTAGTACTGTTATAATAACATAAAAAAATTTATTAATTTAAAAGAATAAACACTTATATGAGATGTTACAAATTTTTGGTTTGAGTACTCAACTATGAGCATACAACGGGTTTGTAAGTTAAACAAATTCACAAGTGTAACTTTAATACCATATTAACTTCTTGGTGTATCTGACATTTCTGGGAAATCAGATTCTTCCATCACCAATGGATGAATGTCAGTGGAGGGATTGTATTGTTGAATTACCATAACTGATGTAACGGTGGAGTAATCTGAAGAAGCCAAAAAGCTTCCAACAGGTCCAAGCTCTGGACAATCACTCTGGCTACCCAAAGGTGCCACTGATGGCATTCTACCAACCAATATTAGGTTGCTTCTCTTCATATCCTTTAATGTTGTCTCAATATCTCCTTTACTCTGCACTAGCTTTTCCTCATACTTCATTGACTCTTGGTTGTTGTTGCATGCACTTAAAAACTTACTCCACAATTCATCATCCTGCTTTTTATCAGCATAATTATTGTCATCAACCGCATCAACTGTTTTCCTATACTTGTTTGATGACACCCCAACTAATCTAGCACCAAAGGCCAAAGATGTCCCTGGTGGAGTTACAACTTTGACCACATTGAGAAAAATTCCTGGGTGCTCAGCCATTCTCATACCATAACAAAGTGCTTCACGATCATCACGCCCACCAAAAAGGGTACCACTATCTTATAAGACACATCACTAGCTTGGACTTGGCTTGTGCCTCCAAGACCTCGATCAACCAAAATTCCGACTGAGCAAGGAGCATGGCTTAACACAAGTTGATTGGTAACATGGAATGAATGTCCTAGTGACTCCATTGATCCATCCACACGTTGGCGTTTGTGGAATGGAAGGATGATCATGGCTGCACGCTTTTGGTGAGCACTAGTACAAATATCTTCATGGATGTTATTAAGAGAAGATATTGCCGTCATGGGTCGCACACTGACACTGCTCAGTTTCTCATAAGCCTGAAAAGCTATGATCATTTTATCTTCGCCATCTTGCTTCTTGTTCCAAAAGGGCATGCCATTCTTGCGTGCCTTGTGAACCATTGTGATTGCTGAAGATCGCTCTGATAGCTCCATCAAGTGCATTGCATATATACAAAGCTTTCCTTTCCTTTGGCTTCCACGGGAGCACTCTATTAGATTGATCAGCGTGGGAATGTTGTGGGTGCCGTGGAAGCAAGCAAGCATTCGAAGCTCAGTGTCAAGATCACGTTGAATTGTTTTGTGTTTGTAAGGTGCTCCTCTGCGAGCTGGTTTATAGACAAACATCACTATTGGGGTGGTGATAAAGGTGGTAAACAAGGCCATGAGAACACAAATGGCAAATGCTTGGTCATTCAACACCTGCATCGTAAGAAGAATAATTCATAAAAAGACATAAGAACAAAGGACAATACTCACAAATTTTTATAAGAACAATTCAAAGACATGTGATTGGGGGTGCTTAAGTTCCACATCATGTTCAGTATAGGTTTTAAGTGCTTGGTTATCCCTCCACAATTGCTACCTTTTTGAGGGTGGATGGTTTGGGTTTGGATACATATGAACTTATGAGTGAAACAAAGAAAATCAATGTTTATTATCATGAGTAAATATATTTATTATACATACCTTCCGGTCCTTCCCAATGTTGAGAATAATGAGCTCTACCAAGCCCTTTGTGTTCATGAGAAATCCAAGAGCCAGGGCTTCTCTGAAAGGCACCTTACATAGTAATGAAACAACAGTAGTGCCAACAATCTTCCCAAAGCAAGCATTGAATATAACAAGCATTAGCATTGCCCAAGAAAGACCTCCCTTAATTGTTGCCACATTAGTCTTTAAACCACTGGACACAAAATATAGTGGCAAGAAAAGGCCAGACACCAGGTCTTCTATCCTCTCAGTCAACACCGTAGCAAAGGAACCTTCTTTGGGCATAACAGTACCAACCACAAAAGCTCCAAAGAGGGCATGAATTCCAATGATATCAGTGACAAAACCACAAGCCAAAACCAGAGTCAATGTGATGCATATGTACAACTCCTTAACTGGCTCACCTTCCAGGGAACGGCTAGCCATAGCCACAAGCAATGGCCTAATGGCAAAGACAACAAAGGTGACAAAAGCAACACCAGATAGCAAAACCCAAAGAGGAACAAGTGGGGATGTGTTAGAACCAGAAAGGGCTATGGCAAGAGCAAGAAAAATCCAAGCTGCAACATCATTAACAGCGGCAGCAGACATTGTTATGCGACCAACATCGGTGGTAAGGAGTTTAAGCTCGGCCAGGATCCTAGCAAGGACAGGAAATGCAGTGATTGAGAGAGAAACACCCATGAAGACAAGAAAAGGAAGTGGCTCGGCACCCTTGGATAAAGTGGCTCGAAGAGCAACGGAAGTTCCAATGCCAAGAACAAAAGGCACAATGATCCCACATAGGGCAATGCCTAAGGCCTTACGACCAGTACGTCGAATTGCACGCATGTCAAGCTCAAGACCCACAAGAAACAAGAAGAACAAAAGACCTATGTTGGCCAGTGTGTCAAGAACTGTTATGCTTTTCGCTGGGAAAACCGTATTCAAAAACTTCTCGCTCCGCCCAATTGCAGATGGCCCTAGTAGTATTCCTCCCTGCAATTTTAACAATAACATTACTGTCTGTGTGGATGTACTCAACATTTTCATCCACTTTCTACATTTTATTTTCCTTTCTTTAAAAATTACCAATGTCTTTCACATAACGCATTCGCAAACAACACAAACTCAAGATAAATACTTGAAGTTGAATACTAAAATCATGGCAATGCCCATGAGTGCCAAAGTACATGACCACTGCAAGGCGGGGAAAGAAAAACTTACGATGATCTCAGCAACGACTCGGGGTTGTCTGAGGGGTTTGCAAAGGAATGCAATAAATCTAGTAAAAGCAACGACCAAACAAATTTGGAGGATTAACAGAGGAAGCGCATAATCGAGAGGGTTTTCATGTTGGAATGCCCCGTTGGACGTGGCCTTCATGGGTGCAGGGCATGATGGGTTATTACTCGTCGTTGCCATGGTGCTTTGTCTTAGAGCATTGCAGCCCCGAGAATGATTAAATAATGTTGGATTTCACCGTAAAAAACAAACTCATTGAATTTCCAAGCAGAGAGATAAGAGGAACACAACAACAATAACAACTTGTGTTGAGAAGTTGATGAATCTCTTGATTCATGATCATAGTGTTAGGCTCTCTGCGCTGTCTTGTGTTCCACTTATAGTATGCATTTAAACTGTCCATACTCAATCCAACTAATCACTGCCAAATATATATTAACAATTAGTTCTGGTAACCCCCACATTGTTTTTCTTCCATAAATAAACCATAAATTTTATTCCTTCACAATTTATTAGTCAAATATCAAAATATATTGTAAGAGTAGCAAGTAAAATGAAACACTTATAATTGGAATATTTTATTAGTTGTATATAAAATAAGTTGAAAATGTTATTATACATAACTATGACGGTTATAACTTGCAATCGGGGATATTATGAAATAATTAATATTAATAATGATGATTATAATGATATAATGTTTTGGAAACTGAAATGATGATTTGTATTGAAAAGAAAAATATGGTTTGCATTCTTTAATTAAAAATTATAGAATAGCACTACAAAATAGATAGAGAGAACGTTTCATAAGACATGGATTAATTATTTGATAAATGTATAAATAATTATTGATTATCCAGTGTTTAGGTATAGGAATTGTGATTAATTATAATTTTCAATGTTATTGATGTAACATAAATTAAAGTGTGGCTCAAGACCCACACTAAAACACAAAAATTAATTAAGTACTTAAATTTAAATGAATATAACGTAACTAATTTATTTTTTTATTAATAACTAAATTTATTATATTCCAGAAAAAATAAGAGGTACTCCGTTCTATGTAATATTTTAAAAAAAGGGAAAAAAAGAGAGAAATGTAAAAGAAAATTAATATAACATGGGATAAACTATTAATATTACGATAATTACTTATTTTCAAATTAAATGATATAATTATCTAACTAAAAGTGTTCATTAAAATGGGATTTTTTTTCGTTGAATAGATATAGAAAAAAATAATAATATATTATTCCATGAAGTTATATTTAATTTTATCAATATTTTTTGATATATAGTAAAAACGTGAGAGTTAATTCTAGTCTTTTCGTTTGCAATTTAACCCTACAATAATTCCTACAAAAAAAAAATTACTTTTGTAATTATTGCTGGGGTACTGTGATGTTGATATTTAATCGTATTAATTCTGTCTCTTCTGATAAACTTTCTCTGAAGTCTTGACCAAACATGTCAATAACAACGTACATAGAAAAATTATAAAATCTATATGTAACACTTATTAGGTTTCGTTAATTATTTTATTATAAATAAAAATATTAACTGCTTATAATTTAGAGATTGTTGTAACTATAAAATATTTTGTAATTCATAACCATTTAGTATTTTCTCTTTAGATATTAACAAAGTTTCCCCTTCTATCATGTTTTTAATAAAAAAAAAGTTGATTTTATTATATTATAGGTTTGTGAATCAAATATTAATATAATAACGTTTTTTTAGTAAATTGCATTAATATATTTGAGATTTTTTTTCAAATTACACTAACATAATTTTTTAAAATTTTATACAAATCTTACGTTGTCACTTATTTTTACATTACACGCACACACCTATATAGTTTTAAAAACATTATACTCATATAGTCCCTTTCTATTAGAAAATATCATTATAATAATTAAAGAAAAAGAAATATATTTGTAATTTGATAAAATTTGAAGAGATGTCATTGTAATTTACTTAACTTTTTCTAATGGGATGATGACTTTTATATCCGTTGATTAAGTATGATTTAGTGGTTGACTGTTATTTTACTTTTGTCATTATCGTTTTATTTGCTCAAAATGGAAAACAATATTTGCTTATGTGAACAGAAACTTATATTTTCATGATGTGACCAAATATAACCAAAATCATATTAATTGAACGTAAAATATTCACGAAAGTTATTACATATTATGATTCTTCACGGTGGTGACCTTTTTTTATATTATTATTTAATGTAATGGTCTTGGGATTTTGAATATGTTATCGGATAAATTATTTATTTTAAATTATTAATCATCTAATATTAGGTTTATGAGTATTTTTTTATTTATATGATATTCATTTTTTTATCAAATGTAAGATTATAACTTATTATATTTTATATGATTTTATCAATAGTCACTTGTAAAATTAGAAATTAAAATGTGATCTCATATAAAATTTTCAGAAATTTATTTTTTTCTTGATGTCACTAATATTCATTATTTTAGTTCTTACCAAAAAATAAAATAATGTATCATTCGCTTTATTCTAAAAGCTGGAGAAGAGATATTTGTACTTATTCACGTCGAGTTGTTAAATAAATTTATGGTTATAAAATTGTTACAATAACAACCTTCGATATCTACTACCCTGTAAAATTATTGGTAAAAGAATCAATGTTAAATGTTAGCATTTATAATTTCCATTTTTTTTATAATTAACGTAGAAAGTTTATTTTTATTTTTCAAAATGTTATTGTATGACATTTTTCGCATGTTACAAATTAGTTCAAAAATCAATATAAAAATTGTCAAATAAATAGTCTTAATAAATATAAAATAGTCTTAAATAATATATAATTTATAATAATTTAAAAAAAATATTTAATAAATAGTTACAATGAAAGAACGATAATACAAGAAAAGGTGATATTGTGATGGATGATAAGATTACAACTGAACCTAAAATCATAATATATACACTGATAATAAAAAGAAGAGAATGATAGAGGGTGAGGGTTAACGAAAAGTAATGCAATGGTATGACATATGACAAGGACGTGATGCAAGGCACAAGATCACAGGAGGGTGTGAGGACATGAGGGCACAATGAAGATGCAGCAAAAGGCACCAAGATGCAGTAGAGGGCACAATGGAGGTTGAAGATTTGATGGAGGGCAAGAGAGAAACGGAGGACGAGGGTGCAATTGAGCAAGACCAAGATCGAGACTACAATGAATACCAACAACTCAAGAGAGGGCGAGAGGTGGAGAAGGCTAACAAAGGTAGAGAATAAATGAAGAAGTAAAATCAGTTTGTAGAATGAGAGAAATATTTCATAAAAGAGGAGAAATGTGTTTATGAGAATATTAGAAAAGACTGTGTAGGTCGGTTACAATAAAACTATTTAAAATCTTAACGTGAATTGAAATTAGTAAAAATAAAGAAGTTGGCTAATTTACAAGTGAGAAAAAGTTATAACATAGTGTTTTAAGGTTTTGGATTTAAAGTGGTGTCTTGTAGTAATCTCCCATGTTTAGGTCTCCTCAAACCCAACAATGATATTAAAGTCTATAGTTCACGTAGTTATCGACTCAATTGAGTATGATTAAAATAAGTAACAAATTCGAAATTATGAATCATTAGGTCGAAATTCTTCCTGATAAAAATTTAAGCAAACGAGTCATGTTATGTTAAATTATTATACAAATAAGGTTATTACTAAGTATTTAAAGTTAAGAAATTCTTCTACTCGAGGATAAATGATCCAATGTGGAAAGGAATTATACTTGAATATGAGATTGTTTGAAATCCAAGGACTGAATTGAAATGAAAAAGTTTAATAACTTATAAGTGAGAAAAATTCATAATCTAATGTATTAAAGTTTTAAATTGAAATGATATCATATTTTCTTATATGATTAACTTATGTCTCCTTTATAATAATCTCTCTATGTTTAACTCTCTTATATATACCCAACAAGAATCCAAGTTAAATATGACTTTTTACCTAAGTTATAATACAATCAATTTAAAAACTTATTTCAAATTAAAAATTTGTTACTGTTTTTTTTACATTATTTCTTTTTTTACATTATTTTTTTTATAACTGATGTTAAACGATGTATTAAAAATTATTTTTATTATATTGTAGGTTTATCGGTGACAAAGAAATTTTGCATTTAACAAAAGAAATGGGATATTCCTTAAACATTTTTTATTATGTTGTGTTATTCTTACTCGTCCCCCTCTTGGTCCCACCATGTTTAGCCATTGGGATCGTTGTAATTCCCACAATGTTCTTGCAACTTGTTCCTACTATGTATTCTTATTCTGATGGTGATTGCATCCTTCTTTTGTTTTAAAGGACTTCATGAAAAAATAATCTGTTTCATTCTTATATCACGATGGTGCAACTGTTAAGAGATCTTGATCATGTTTTCTCGCTTCTAATTAACAAGAGTGTCAATATCTTAGTCAAACAACAAACCGAAATAGCTTAGTTAAACAGAAATATCAAACATATTTTAAATATCATTAGATCATTATTCATTCTAGTTTTTTTTGGAGTTATATTGTTGCTTTAGTTGTCCATCTAATTAACACAACACCTCTTCAGTGCTTGACAACAAATCACCTTATTACGTACTACCTAACAGAATTCTTGATATTTCACATTTAAAGGTATTTGCATGTCTTACTTTTGGCTCCACTATCACTTCTAATGGAAAGAAACTATACTCCAGAGCACAAAAATGTATTTTTCTTAGCTATCAAAGAGATGTTAAAGACTTTGTTCTATATGACTTAAAGAATAAGGAAAATTTTCTATCAAGTACAATTTTATGAAAACGTTTTTCCTCAGAACCAATCTTAAGGCTCTTCACAACTACCTTCAACTTTCACTTAATTTCATCCAATCATTCCTACTCAATTTGAATATTTTTTTCCTTTACCCTCCATTTCCCTATATGGTTCACTTCCACCTTTACCTGATAAATCTTTTCCATCTCAAATAAACCTTCCATGTAAACCTCAACCTATTTCTAACACGCCTTTATTTACTCTTCGTACTTCTTATACACCTCCTATTTAGTAAATAAAATCTCAACTGTTTTGTTGCAAAGGGCGGAATGAATTGACTTCCCTAATACCTTTAGTCCTATTTGTTCCATCATAAGAATGCCTCTTTCCAACATTGGCACTTAGAACAGGTTGATGTTAATACAACATTTTTCATAATGACTTAGATGAGAAGGTTTGTACGAAAACACCTGGATTGACTCTCTGATCCTACTTAATTTGCAAGTAAATCAAATCTTTACATGACCTTCGACGAGCTAATAGGCAATGGAATTTCAAACTTTCTATTACTCTTTGATTTAGGTCAATCAAAATAGGATTATTCCTTATACACCAAGATCTCTCACTGGTTTTACAATTGTAATCACTCATGTTGATGATTTGATATCTTAGGGGTTTGACATTTCTGAGATTAACCAGGTCAAATCCTTGTTGAAATTGCTAGATCCTCTAAAGTTATTTCCCTTGCTACGAGGAAATATGCATTGGATCTCTTGCAAAATGTTGGGTTATTGACTTCCAAACCTTTTTCCACTCCAATGGAATATTCCCTCAAGCTTTCTAAGACTATTGGGTTACCTCTTCCTTATGCTTCTGTCTATAGAAGAGTCATTGGTAGGCTAGTTTATCTAACAAATTTCAGACCAGTCATTAACCTTGTTGTAAGCAAGCTTAGCCAATTTCTCAGCAATCCTACTTTCATTCACTTGCAAGCATCTCTTCGCACTCTTTCATACATCAAAAAAGACAATCCTGCAGAAGGTCTTTTCTTCTTACTAGTTTTTTTTTTTTACTCAAATTGGAGAGTTTGTCCTGATACACAAAGATTTTTATTTTTGTTTCTTCCTTGATTTCTTAAAAATCCAACAAACTTTTAACTGTGTCAAGATCTTCTTCTGAGGCAGAATATAGGACCTTAGCTCATGCAAATTGACTGTCTCAACTCATGCAAATTGTGAAGGTCAATGGTGAATTTTCTTCGAGATTTTGACATTCCACTCAATCGATTGATTGGTTGTGCTCTTTTGTGATAGCCAATATCACTACATATAACACCAAACCCAGTTTTCCATGAGGGAAGCAAATATATTAAACTGTCACCTGGTACGTAAGAAACTTTAGTCTAAACTACTACAACTAATGCCCATTGCTTCTAAGGATCAAACTGCATATTTATTCACTAAGTCACTCGTCACATGACCATTCGAGTATCTAGTTTCCAAGTTTGAAATAATTAACATCTATTCCAATTTGCGGGATATCAATAAATGTACTTCTTAGCTTTACCACAGTTAGTTTGTTAATTATGGTTAACTCTTATTTTAAGCTGTATCAGTTGGTGAAGTCTTCCTTTACCATTTTTGTAATTTACTGCACAATCTAGAAAGAAAAAGAAAAAGAAACTGGTAACTAACTAACAAGGTAGCAAATCATCCCCAAAGAGATAGAGAAGTCTCTCCACAGCCCAGCTAGGCTGAGGAGGAGGGAGGGACGTGGCAGAGTTGTGGTGGCAGCAAGAACTCAGCAAAGGGGCTCTGCAGAGTGGACAAGTGGGGTTGTGATTCTCGTGTTCATGCTCCAACCATCGGTCTATGCACTCTCTGTGAAACACGTGGTAACAGTTCATGAGTTCCCGAACCTCGTCATCCACCTCCAGCTGGCTCAGACAAACTGCACACGTGTCCTCCGTCTGTGGCAGCCTCTCCTTAATCTCCCCGAACGTGGTCAGAACAAGGGTGCTGTCCCTGTCCCTTGTCGTCTGAGGACAAGATTCAGGTGGGGTATCTTCAGACCTTGTTCTTCTGTCATTGATGAGTCTGAAGAGCAAGCACAAGACCCATCTCAGAACTGCAATGATGAGAGCTACCTCGTATATGGCCTGCCCTATTGTCAAGCCAGAGAGAGGGTCTTCAACGTAGAACCCCATTGGAAGCAGCTATGGATGATGAAACTGTGTGTGTGAGAGAGAGAAGAAAGGGAAAAGGGGGAAGTTGTAATGGGTTCTATGGCCTTTTTATAAAGCCGGGAAGGGAGTGGTAGTGGAGTGGAGGTTACTACTCTGCCTTTCTTTTTATTGTTTCTGCTTTCTCTTAGCTTTTCTTTTACCTTCACTCACTTCTACGTTCTTTCTTGCTATGCTTTTTCAAATTATCGTTGTCTTTTTTTTTCATTGTTTTGTTAAAGATTATCCACCATCCTTTGGTATTTAGGAATAAAGGGTCACCGACTAGTCCCTTCAGACTCTTCCGCGTGTGATTAGGGGCCAGTGTGAGGGATGGGTTAAGCCTTGCGTTTTTTTAAGTAATCAAATGGGATGGTTACTCACAGCTAATAAAGTTGCGTCGTCAGGTATCATAATGGATCTTCAGATTCTTGATTAATTAGTATGGCCATTTTTTTTCTCTTTATTTAGATATAACACTTCAGCACACCTGCAATGGCATCTCAAGAATTACAATCAACACACTCTTTTACCTTGTGTACTACCAGTGAGTGTAAAGAAATTTACAGTCTAATCTAATTATAAAACCTTATTTACAATAGATTTGTTAGAATTTGGTAAAAAATGATTTCTTAATTGTAGATATTCACACAATAAAAAGGGTGTGAAAGAAAAAAAAAAGGGGGAGAAAATAAAGCATGGATCACATACTTATTTTAATGTAGCAAATCAAGGAGCTTTCATGTTGCAAGCCTCTTGAAACATTGAGTGCACTATAACGTAATTTTGATTGACCATTTTAACTTTAATATATCAATTTCTTAATGAACGTTTCCATGCCATCAATTTCGGACATAATTGGATTCAGTTGTTAAAATAGTGGTATTTGTTAGGTGAAAGATGAATGGAACATTAGTCAGGCTTTCACATGATCATGAATCGTCATAGTGGTCCCGTTGCATGTGTAGATTCCTAACATCCTAGTCAGATGCAACCTATGCACAGTTCATTACCACATTTGATTAAGAAGTACGATGAACATGACACAAGAAAGGATGTTATTAGTGGAGGAACGTGCCGGAAAACGCCACAAAGGGAGAGCAACATAGTCAACTATGTCTCACTGCTTGCTACAGAAGAGAAAAGAAATTACAGGGCATGAAATGGGATTTTCATACAACAACATTCCAAAAACCCTTTCAGTTTAGAATTCACCGACGCACGGATGCATGCTGAGGTCATTAACCAAAGAAATTTATAAACTGGAAAACTGCTTAGTTTGCGTGACTGTATATTCAGAAAGATGAATTGAACTCCTTCTCTGTCACGGTTATGCATAAGCAGGAATTTTTTGTTCCGGTAACACAGAACTTTTAGACAGTGGTAACATTTGAATTGAGGGGCACTGCATAAAAAGATAACTAATAAAGTAATAGATTGTTCAAATGCTTTGGTCCATTGCTCCAACTTCTTCCATCTTTTTTCGCATTTTGTATTGCAACGTAGCTGGTGCACAATCTAAAGGTGTTTCTCCTGAACAAAAAACAGGCGGTTAGGATTTTCATACAACAATTTTGCTGCATGTTTTATATTTTTACGATCTTTCTTTACACTAGAGCGACAGCAAAAAATAAGTGGCTGAATTATAGGAAGGAAAATATTAATTGCCTTGTGCATTTTTGCATTCCAGACTTGCCCCCGAATCCATGAGAGTGAATACTATATCAGTTTGATTGAAGACTGCAGCCTACAGAGAATATTAAAATTGGTGACCGCTATATGTTTAAGAAAATAGAATTATTTTGATGCATGCGCACAATCATGCCCAAACATTGGCAGAAGAGTGAGAGAGGTACCAAATGTATTAAAGACAGTCCTTGCTTGTCCTTGTAATTTGCATCCACACCCTGCACATTTCAGAATCCATGAATATTACTTCCAAATATATAGACTAGTCTACTTTTGAAAGTGACAAACCTCATTAAGAAGTTTCTTAACAGCAGCAATGTCACCATTTTTTATTGCTTCTCTTAAACCCTGAAAGCGTCACAATTAATTTAACTTATGATTTTCAGCACCCAATATCGTTTAGCACAATTTATACAAGTAATTGCTTAAATTCAAACAACAAAAACATTTACCTCTCCACTAACTTCATAATCAATCTGAGGTCTGGCTGAGGAACCATTCATAGAACTGTAAATTTTGCATCATAAAGCATGCAAGAGCAAAATCAATTTTTGAATTAGAGGTGAATAGCTTATGAGCTTAGCTTAACATAATGAGACTCGTGATTACTTTATATATGTACAGTATCTTGAACAAATGTCAGTATACTAAAATAACGAAATTTTCCAGATGAATGTGTACTTCATCATTTCATCTCTCATATTCACAAGAAGGAATAGAAGAATAAATAACAAACAACCAGTATGGTGTTAATGGCTGGTTTATAATTCCACTCCAGAATATTTTAGAGATAAATCCCCACCTTAACATTCTGGGAATTGCTTGCTTTCTTAGCTTTCGAGTTTCAAATGACGAGACAGAGAAAATGCCTATATCGTCCCAGCTACCATTTCAGCTCAGCCAAGGAATACTTAATATACAAGAGTATTATTTCAGGTAAACTGAAATTCAATTTCACTTCAGGAAAAAATAGATATTACCTAAATTTGCTAGTTGAACTGGAGCTTCTATTTTTCGGAACAGTATCTGTTTTCTTAGGTTTAGGATTTGATGGAGGAGCTGCAATAACTGGGTTGGGTTTACTCTGTCACAGAGGATAAAGAAAAACTATGATTCTGTGGATTGCACAAACAAAAAAGAGAATATGCAGATGATATTAAGAATTATTACCTGTTGGGAGGGTGCCTCGGAGGAAGGTGCTGGAGCTTCACAAATGCAAAGTGGCATTCCACACTTACACTCTTTAATGCTTGATACAAAATTATTATTTGCAGTTGGTATGGATTTTGAATCAACAAGTGCATTAATATCTAATTTAGAAATTGTATCTGTCACACTGTTAGCTCCATCTGAAGAACCCTGTGGTACATCCTTTCCAGACCTGTGCCACAGAGAATATGTAATTTATAAATAATTCCCAATAATATTGATCTCTGTAAAAAATAACGATATTTTCGCAAAAAAGGAAAAATAAAATACTAGTAGAGGAAGATTAAATTGACAAATACAAGGAGAAACATAAACAAATGGAATGGAAGTAAATAATTGTCTGTCGGCCAGCAACCTCAATTTACAAGTAAATAAAAAAAAAAACATGAGGACGTTTTCTTGTCATTTAGACAATTGAACCAGTGGCCCTTCAGTGTCAAAATGTAATATAAAGAAAAGGATAATATTGATAATAAGATATGCATTATGTTGTCTTATGGGTGAGGGATATGCATTTCCATCCCAAAATTGTAAGTAAAATCAAAGTTTCAAAGCTTATCATGAGGCATGTTTTCATGCCAAATAATTTATAGTATTGGTTCATATACTTTTGTAAGATTAGGTTCTCAATCTCTCTATAGTGTAAACAAAATGGTCTTTGAAAAAGGGTTTTTTTCCTATTAAAATATGTTGAAGTAAGGATTGGGTAACTTTTTTCTTTGATGTGTTTTGCTTTCTCTCTCTCTTCCCTTTTTTCCTTTTTCGAAGGAGAAACTCTCATCCTCTTCTCATTTTCATGAATTTCTTCTTTTATAAGAAAAAAACATACACACAACTTTTGCAATCAACATTTTGCCATATCCATTATAGAATAAAAGTAACATCTCCACCAAAAAGAAAACAAAATACTTTTCCAAAACTAATTAAGCTTGAGAGCCTTTCCTAATAAAAAAAAAAAAAAAAGATCCAGTGTATTTAAGGGTCAGCCAAGGAGCAGATAGCTCAGATTAATTTTCAGTTATGTGCTCTGCTATGACAGTTAGTAGAACCAAATATTTTGAGAACTCTCGGATCCTTTAAAAGGTGTAATTCCTTTTGGAAAAAGGGCTAAAACATCTTTGCAAATGATGTCCAACGTCTTTATGATTTTTCTAATCGGCTGGCCTCCCTCAAACAAGTAGATATGATATGATGTCCTTTATTGCTGAAGCTCAATCAACACTTGAAGATTTTCTTGGAGGAAGATTCAATAGAAAAAATAAAGAGCAAAACAAATAAATTTTATATAGTTATGATTCTCCGGGCTATAAATCCAGATTCCGATCATGTTAAAGATCAAATCTTAAGTAGTCAAAAAGTTCCTTCCATGAAAAGTTTAAAAACACAACTTCTCCAGGTTTCAACTTTCAAGAGTAAAAATGTTCAGGATCTAGTTGAATCTTCCGTCATGATTTCTACTCGTGGAAGAGGAGGTCATGACATTAGAGGAGGACATGGTGGTAAAGAATGTCCTCAATGCACATATTTCAAGAAAATTGTTTTTCATGGTTTCCCTAACAAGATTGCACATATTTCCAAAACAGAAGTGATTGAGCCCAAGTTCTCCGATGAGGATGTCAGGAATAGTTAAAGTTGAAGTCCACCAGTCAAGCACAATCATTAACAACTCCAAATTTGTCTAAAAGCTTACATTCCCCAATCTATGGATTGTCAAAATCTATGAATTATTGACTCAAGTACTCCTGATTATATGTATGGTAATCCCTTGTTATTTTCTTATCTTTCATTCCCTAAAACTCCTCATTTCATAACTCTGACTAACAATTCTAAAGTAGCCTCTAAAGGAATTGGTCATGTTTCCATTTTCTCGTCTTAGTCTCATTTATTTATATCTATGTCATATTTGTTCTTTCATGTCCCCTTAATCTCATTTATTTAAGTTAACTAACCAAATCATTGAACTGTTTAGTAACCTTTAGTACCAACTCTTTTGTTATACAAGAACATGGTACGGGTCGACTGATTAGAAAAGGACATGAATCAAGAGGCTTATACTACTTTTGAGCTAAGTCATCACTATCTTGTGTTGCATCTTCATCTCCTAAACTACTTCATGAACGCTTAGGTCACCCTCACTTGTCAAAACTGAAAAAGATGGTTCCTAAACTATGTAATCTTCAAACTTTGGAATGTGAATCATGCCAACTAGGGAAACATATTAAGTCTTCATTTCCAAAACATTCTGAATCTAGATTAGATTTGTCATTTTCTATTATCCATTCTAATATTTGGGGACTCAGTCGTATATCTTCTTTTGGTTTAAACTAGATAAATTGACATGACCCACATAATAAACTAAATAAATTGGACAAACTGGGAACAAGTTGCTGCAATTTGACAAAACTAGGGTGACCTAGTTGAGCATGAAGGAGAGATAGAGACTCCATAACTATACCAATATGTGTAGAAGGGCAAAGATGATAAAGACCATGAGACTCACATCCGGTGTCAATCATTTGTCTCAAACTCCGATCCTATAAACAAACAGAATCTTTGGTAAAAGAAATAACACAATCAAGAGAACGAGTTAGACGACTAATGGATAATAAGTTAAAGGACGACCTAGGGACGTAAAGAACATCATCAATGGATAAAGATGAAAAAAGTTTAACAGTACCAATATCATGAGGCAAAACCCTATACCCATTAGCCATTGTAATTGAAGGTAAATTATTCGAAGAGGATAAAGAAAAAAACAAAAAATTGTTCCCAATAATATATCTGCGACGCCTGAATCAAGAATCCAAGGTCCAATAGAAGGAGATTGAGTTAGGTCAACAAAAGATGTACCTGTGAGTGCTACAGTACTGTAACTAGAGTTCTGACGAGCCTCATACCATTTCAAAAATTCATTAAAAATAGCACATTTGTCTGCGGTATAAGATGACATAGGATCCACAATAGATGATTGTGAGACAGCGAAAGAAGCCATAGAGAAAAACCCTAAAAATTTTAAATAGCGCGTGGAGACTCCGACGTGACAATCTCAATGGCATGGTGGTTGTCTAGTCAAAATGAGCAGAACGGTGTGGTCACTAGTTTAAACTATGACTTGAGCGGCGACGGTGGCTCCGGCGACAGCAACTGCTTTGGCAACGGTGGCAGCAGGTGTAGGGGCTGCAGCAATGGCAGCAAAAAAAAAAAAAAAAAAAAAAAACCTAAGCTCTAGATACCATGTTGAATATAGTGAAAAACTAGGTATAAGGTTAATCTCCCTTGTGTCTCAAATACACATAGGATAATATATTTATAATTAAGAGTCATATATAAGTAAATATGGTAAATACATATATTGTGACTAATAATATCTAATAGAGATAAAAGAGAAAGGTCGAGATATAGGAGATTGGTTGGTAAACTCATTTATCTCACTATTACCATACCAGATCTCTCTTATGTAGTTGGGGAGTAGTTAGCCAATTCATGCAAAATCCTAGTGTTGATCTCTCTTATGTAATTGGAGTAGTTAGTCAATTCATGCAAAATCCTTGTGCTGATCACTAGAATGCTTTAATTCGCATTCTGAGATATGTTAAAGGGGCCCAGGACAAGGATTGTTATATGAAGATAAAGGTAATACTCAAATCCTGGGCTATTGTGATGCAAATTGGGTTGGTTGTCCCACTGATAGAAGATCTACTACTGGGTATTGTTGTTGCTCGATCTTGGACAAAAGCTGAGTATAGATTTATGGTGCTTGCTACATGTGAACTTGTGTGGATCAAACAACTCCTTCAAAAATTAAAATTTTGTGATAATGGGCAGATGAAGTTGTTTGTGATAATCAGGTGGCTCCCCATATTGCCTCCAACCCAGTGTTTCATGAAAGAACAAAGCATATTAAGATTGATTGTTATTTTGTTAGAGAGAAGTTATTGTCTAAGGAACTTTTAACTGAATTTGTAAGCTCTAATGAATAACTAGCGGACATTTTAACTAAGTCCTTAAGAGGACCTAGAATTCAATTCATATGTTCCAAGTTTGGTGCATACAATCTATATGCTTCAGCTTGAGGGGGAGTGTTGAGACATGTATGTTTGTCTATTATTACTTATTCTCTTTGTATGTTCCTTAAGCTAGGTTAAGTGTTTGGGCTAAGGCCCTTATCCTCTTTATTATATCCCTTTTGTTATAAATACAATTGTATCAGTGCCTATGGACACTATATTGAACCCTTTCTATTTCCAAATGAACCACTTTTTCATGTTTCTCCCCATGGCTTTAGTTGTGTATATTTAGTTCATGATGTCTCTAGGTTTAGACAGACTCTCATCTAGAGTCATCAAATGTATTTTTTTGGGAAATTCTCCTAAAAAAAGGATATTGTTGTTACTCTCCTGAAACCTAAATATACTATATGTCAGCCAATGTCACCTTTTTTTAATCAACTCCATTCTTTCCCTTGTCTACACAGAATATTAGTTTTGTCCAACTTGTTTTTCCTGTATCCTTAGTGGAGTCCTTGGTTCCCTTTGTTCCTGACGACCAAAATCCTATTCAGGATTAATCTGAATCCTTGTCACCTCCTCTTAATACTAACTGACATAGGGACCAAATGCTTAATCTAATGCCCCAAGATGAGTCATCTTCAACAGATCATTCCCAATCATCACTTAATACCACGACTCCTAATAATTATGACTCATGTTGGCCCATTGTCATTCGTAAAGATACTCATTCTACTCGTAATCCATATCCTATTTATAATTTCTTTAGCTACCACAAATTATCCCCTTCACATTTTTCTTTTATATCTTATGTATCCTATATTTCTATTCCTAAAAATGTACCCAAAGCACTTGATCATCCTGGATAGCAACAAGTTATGATTTCTGAAATGCAGACTCTTGAACATAATAGCACATGGGAGTTGGTTCCTCTTCCTTCCGGAAAGGAAATTGCTAGTTGTCACTAGGCCTATACCATTAAGGTCAGACCTAATGGTGAAGTTGACTGCCTCAAAGCTAGACCAGTGGTCAAAGGGTACACTGAAATCTATGGTCTTGATTATGTGATACTTTTTCTCCCATGGCCAAAATGTCTCCTATGAGACTTTTCCTTTCCATGGTTTCCATTCGTCATTGGTCTCTCCATCAATTGAATATTAAGAATGTTTTCTTTCATGGTGATCTAGAAAAGGAAGTCTACATGGAACAACCTCCTGACTTTGTTGCTCAAAGGGAGTTTGGTTTGGTCTATAAGTTGCAGCGTTTTCTTTATGGTCTAAAGCAATCACCGCGTACTTGGTTTAAAAAATTTAGTTCGTTGTTCAAGTCTTTAGGTTGAAACAAAGTGAAACAGACATAGAAGACTAGTTGGGAAACTTATTTATCTTACTATTACTATACTTGATCCATCTTTTGTAGTTAGTGTGGTTAGTCAATTCATGCAGGTCCCTTGTATTGATCATTGGAATGCTATCATACATATCCTGACATACTTAAAAAAATGCTCTAGGATAAAGGTTGTTATATGAAGATAAAGGAAATACCCAAATTTTTGGGTATTGTGATATTGACTGGGTAGGATCTCCTATGGATAGATGCTCTACTATAGGATATTATGTCTTTCTTGGAGGAAATGTTATTTACTGGAAAAGTAAGAAACAAAACGTAGTTGTCCGATCATCTGCTGAAGCTAAATATAGGATAAGAGCGTCTCTCACGTGTAAATTTTTATGGGTGAAATAGTTCCTTCATGAGCTAAACTTTTGTGAGATTCAGAAAAATGAAGATGTATTATGATAACCAGGTTGATATCCACATTGCTTCAAATCTATTATTCCATGAGAAAACTAAGCACATTAAAATTGATTATCACTTTATTCGAAAAAAGTTGTTGTCCAAAGAAATTTGTACTAGTTTGTTGAATTCAATGATCAACTTGCAAATGCATTAACAGGGGGAGTGTTATATTTATTAGATATTAAATAGACAGTTGTACGTAGTTTCTAGAAGCATGTGTATTTATGAGTTGTATTTGTACCTAGTTTCTATAATAGGTATTTTCATTTTCCCTTTACTCATTATGTTTGTAACCTTCCATTATAAATAAGAGAACCTAAGAGAGGGAGTTCAAGCTCTCTAATTACATATTTTTCCTTTTTTTATCTTAGGTATCTCTAAAGTAAAATGTGCAGTCTTTTCATGTTTCTGAAATACCACATATCACCATAGTATAATATGATCTTCATTAAGAGGTCTTTCTATAGTGTGTCTATAGATCTTGGCCTAATAGTAAGATAAAGTTAGTCTAATAAATTAACTTTACATTGAGTATTGCTCCATACATAATAATTAAGTTATTAACCTAGGTGTGTACTAATCTATACGCAATGTAGCCTAGGAAAAACCTTCAACAAGGTCTAACATTTATGCTTTAATATATCACAAGTTCAACTAAACAAGGTGGAAAGTACCTTAAATTTTCAGGTTACTCAATTGATGCTAAACTGCTCATAAAAAGAGTTCTAAATATTTTTTTTTAGCTTTTAGTACTAGCTGAAAAAGGTCATGTATCCAAATGATAATTGAAAAACAATAAAAAGAACATGTTATGAGGTTGTGAGAGAGTAATTTACCGTGAGTTGTTGAAACAATCAGCACATACTCTGACATTTGAATAAATGCCAAATTGTGGTAAAGCCTACACAGAAACATATCGATACATGAAGTTAATCAAGGATAACACTGGCATTAATATCCTAAACCAAAGGCAAAATAGCATACCATTTGATTAGATGAATGTTCATTGCACAATGTTCTCCCACAGGATCGACAATGATGCTGCATATACGCATCACAGACAAGTAGATAGTATAGTCACTTCCCAATACTGGAAAATTTCCGGTGAACTGAATTTCATGTGAGATTTACAGACATCCAATAATTTTTCACTGTTTTGTTTTCATCTCATTAGCTTATTAATTGAAATAAAAGGAGCATAAGATAGATTCGCCAAACCAAAAATAAAAGGTTGATGTCTATATTGATTAACCCCAACTATAAGCACCATGACCAATACGACGTTTAATGTATATCCATGGCTCATTCAGTATGGAAGATTAAATCAGCAATAGGTAGCAAGTACTGTAAATTTGGGAGAATTTAAATTCTAAGGGTTGTGCAACTTCGATAAGCTTTTAATAAAAATTTACCATTCTTGATCTTACATTATTAACCAATAAACCTCGTTTTCATTCCTAAAATAAAAACGGTATCCGACCCCACGTATTCAAACACAGACTATTTTGCATCTATGATGATCTCGAAATCGCTAAACACACATAGCAAAGTGTTAATTGAAGTTTATTACACATCCAAAGAGGGGGGCATAACACTATAGATCGAAATGGGAACGCGAAGGTGTAGAATATGAGAGACGTACCCTTCTTCTGAAGGTGTTGAAACCGCAATTGCAGACAACGCATCGCGCTGCTTCTTGGAAAGGTGGAGCTTCTGCTGCTGACATGATCTTCTCTTTCTGCTACAAAATATCAATCTCTCTCTCTCTCTCTTTGCTGATCAAATCACAGAGTCACAAGAATCAATTCGTTTCTCCAAATGGAGGATCAGGAATAACAAAATTAATATTTTTGTTGCTGTTTCTGGGACTTAAAAAAAATAAAATAAAAAAAACAGTTGGACCTTGCAAATCTCTAATCAAGCAGTATTAAACCCCACTTCACTCAGTAGGCCTTACTATAGGCCCAAAAATTTTATGCTCACTTTATTCTTTGTGTAGATTAAAAAAATATTAAATATATCATGCTAAAGGGTTCAGTTATTTAAAAAATATTGAATTTTTTTCACAATTGTAATATATAAATTATTTTCTCATTGATAAAAATATTTTTATTTTACTATTCAAACATCCTGAGAGATTTTAATGACATGTTTGACACAGAAGGTAAATAAAGGTACAGAAATTATACATTTGGTAGAAAAAAAATACAAGAGTAAGTAATAAATAAAAATGGAAAAGGAAACAAAAGAAATAAATATAAAAAAATATTAGAATTGTTTGGTTGAAAACAAAGAACAAATAAGTAGAATAAAAAATAATTTTTATTATTAATATTATTTTCTTATTTGTTTGCTGCTATTATAATAAGAAAAAAATATATATACAAACTCTCATCTTGGATGTTCATAGTAAGAAAGTTTAAAATCAAACAATATTTTACATTTTAAATAAAATTGATTATATTTTTATCGTAACCTTTTTTTTTTTTACATTTCTTTTACAACTCTCAACTAGGGTAAAAAAATAATATGTAGGTGTTATTATTGTTTTTTCATACTTTTACTTTCCCATGCATCCAATGTTCACTTCCTTCTTCCATATCCCTTTAATAATGGAAGGAAAAAAAAAACAACAAAACTGAGTGATTTTTATAATCTAATGAGGATTGCAAAGACATATATAAAAATCATATTCATAAACAAAATTTCAGAGGTTGTTGTTATATACCCAAATGTTTCAGATGATAAATTCAAAATACATTATCTTTTATTTTATTTTTTTATTTTAATTATTATATTTTAAATTATTAATTCAATCCTTCAATTAAAATATTTTTTTTATATATCTAGATTTAGAATTAGGGTGTTAAAGTTAAGAATTTAAGATTTATATTTAAAGTTAATATTCAATAATATCAAAAAATATATAAAATAATTAAATTTCTTTTATAGTTAAATGAAATATTTGTAATTTTTTTGTTGTTGCAAAGTTAATAAAAGACTAAATTTATATATTTTTAAATATAAGAATTAAAATTAAGTTTAACCAAAATCGTAATATTTAAATATAGATTTATTCCAATAATTATGAAGACCAACTGTTTCCTTCTTCTTCTTTTATTAAGATAGGACAAAAAATTAAGTTTAACCAAAATCGTAATATTTAAATATTGGAAACATATTTTTCTTGGTTAAGATAGGACAAAAATTGTTTTATTGGTTTTAAAGTTAACTTGATTGGTGTGTTTTGCTTTTGAGATTTGAATTTATTTACCTACCACTATAAAACATTATAGGGTTTATAATTTATAAAAACATAAATATAATAAATATTTATCTTTATTTAACTTTACAATTTTAAAACATCACAACATATCTTTTATATTTTTAAGGTTTAATTATAATTTTGATCTTAATTTTTTTCTTTTAATCCCTATATTTTCATAAAAATTTATAATTATAGTCTCTACTTTGTAAGTTTTGTTGTTTTATTTTTAAATCATTGGTTATAGTAAATTTTATTTTAAAATCATTTTATTATGTAATTAAATGAAGGATCTTTGAGTTTTTATTTTTTTTCTTAGTAAATTATTAATTACCCCTTTATGAGTTTAAGATGTGTATGTTTATTGTGAAAGATAAGTTTAATGAATTGAATAATCACAAATAATAGTCATAGTATAAAAGAAATAGAATTTTAAAATTGTGATTAATTAAAATAGCTATTAATTTAATTTTCCAAGTTGTCATATAAAAACACTTAAAATTAGTTTATGTTAAAAATAACAACAAATGTTTTCAAAACTAATAAGTAAATAAAACCAATAATCATTAAATATTAAAAATTAAAATTATATAAAAAAATTAGGAACCAAAATGAATAATTTAATGACAAAATATGTAAAATAAATATTCATAATAAAATTGTAATTTTTTAAAAAATATATAAAAACAAAGTTATAATCAAATCTATTCAAATAAAATAATACTTATATTTCTTATTTAAAATAAAAATATTGTATAAATTTTAAATATAATAAAAATTAAAAATTAAAAATTAAACTTTTAAAATATTTATTTTAGAGGGACGTACTTTGTGTTATAGAGATGATTTAATAATGCATTAATTATGTGCTAAACTACTTTAACTTAATATATGGAACAAAGTTAAAAATAATATTTTATTAGTTAAAATGAGAGAAATAACTCATTAGTTAAAATTATATATATCTTTCATTTTTTTTAACTATTTTATAAGTAAAATTTTTTATTTTAATTAACAATATTAAATTTTATTAAATAATTTTAATAAAAGTTTAATGATATATATATATATATATATATATATTATTTTTATTTAAAACTATGTTATTTTATTTTCAATGTTAAGAGGTAGCATAACAATGTTTTACATAAAATTCATTAATTATTTGATCATACTAAAAATTCTAATTTAAAAATTAAATATTAAAATTATTTGATTTATAAGATAAAATATGTTTTGATTTTTATAAGATAAAATATTTGATTAAAATAGCTTTTATAATTTTATTCATGTTATTGTAAACATATTTTTTAGTTTTGTTAAAATTTTGCTGGTATAATAATAAGGAGTTTTCATAAATATTTATTTTAAATGTTTTTATTAATTAAAAATAATTTGATATAATTTTTTGTATTAATTTAATATTCATAAAATCTACTTATAATTTTTTTAAATAGTTAATATATTATTTATGCTGCAAATAAAGATTTAATATAAGATTTTTATATAAAAGATAATATCTAAGTTATAATTGTATCTGTAATTTTTATTTTTATTTTTCATTTTATAATGTTAAGCTATTTAAAAAAAATATTACTTTTATTTTTGTAAAAAGAAAATCCTATATTATAAAATTGTATAAAAAAGTATTTTATAAGCAATTATCCTAATCTTAATGTAAACAACAACATAAATTAAAAATATTAAACTAAATACAAATTAAGAATTATTTTAACTTCTTATAATTTTACAAGAAATAGAAGACCAGAAGTTAAAAGGTAACAATAAAACAGGATTTTCAAAGGTCAAAATTGTAATTTTTAAGTGACCCCCTCTGGACATGGCATGACAGGATCAGACATTACAGTATTTATTATTTAATTTATCAATACTGTAAGGTGGAAATGCATCAAAGCACAAGAAACCCGTGCTTCTTATGAAAATGGGCATGAGAAAATGGTGTAGTTGGAGCAGTGTGGGACCACCACAACCAATAGAATCAATGAGAGCCTCTTGTTCCTCTTACAATGTTTTAAAGTACAACAATTAGTAACAACAACCTTTGCAAATCCACCCCCACTTGCTCCTAAACCATACATTACTACAGAGCACAGGTTACTTTTTCTCAACCATGGCTACGAGGATTGCTCTTGATAGTGTTGATGGAAGGAGTGAGAACATGGAGTTTCACACCACCTTAACTGATGACGGTTATAAGATGCATTTCTCTGCGACCAGGTGTGTCTCTCTCTTAACTCAACCATGTCTTCTCCTCTGTTTCTATGTATATTATTAGTATATTCCCACATAAATCCATGTTGGGTTTTCCCTATTTGATAGTTCATTTCTTGTTTCCCTTTTTACCCCCTCTCCATGTGCAATCTATTCCCTATCGGGGACACCTTGTTTGGTTCAAGGTTTTAAATTTCTATGGGGGTGTGGTCTTGGATTCAGCAGCTTTTATGAGACTTTAGATCATGAAAAGAAGACTTTCATATCTCAAAATGGAGTTTGGACTAATTTGGTTAAACCTTTTAATAAGTTTTTATCTGAGAAAATAACAAGTAAAATGATTATTTTTTACAAATTAAAACTAATTGATGTATCTCACATCTTGGAGAATTTAGAAAAAATGTTTTACAAAAATAATTGAAATATATAAGTTGATTTTAACATTCAGTGAAAGATTGATGTATTTTTTCTTCTTATTTTCTTTTTGTGCAAATAATTGTTGAAAGGCTGATCTAAACAAAGTTTCTGATTAGGACAGGAGTTATAGATCAAAGTTGGTGAACACAAGTTTCAGAATTTATAATGTCTGAGAACTTTCCAATTAGAACCATGGTTAGGGTTAGATATGAGATGGAAATGAGTACCAAAAAGAAACAGATTTTGGGACTATACTATGGTTTACTTGCTGGTCTTCAGGCAGTACCTCCTCAGGTATAGTTTGTTTATTATGAAAGCTTCTGTCCATTTGTTCACCTGGACAAAGGGTGTTTTCTGCCGGGAAGATAAGCCTCCCTCATGCAGAATTTTTCTTTGTTTTGAGCACTTGACTTTACACTTCTTATTTAATTCCTTGCCAAGTCTAGTGTCTGGATTCATATTTTGGTCTCATGTCAGAATAAAACTACTTGTACTGAGTTGTTGAGACTTCACAATCAACTCTTGAATAGAGTTTACCGATCTAGATCATACATAATTGCCAAGTCTAGTGTCTGGATTCATATTTTGGTCTCATGTCAGAATGAAACTACTTGTACTGAGTTGTTGAGACTTCACAATCAACTCTTGAATAGAGTTTACCGATCTAGATCATACATAATTCTTAAAAAATCATGTTGCATAATGCAATACAATACAATCTCCATGAAATTCAAAATAATGGATAAGTTTTATACTATGTGCTTTCCCTCCTTATTTTTCAGGCCAGTGGTAGTGCCATCATCTGGACAGATTAAAGTGAGTCCTAGTCCAACCAAGTTTACCATCCTGTATAAGGGGAATATGTGTATTTATGAAGGAATTCCTGCAGAAAAGGTAAATCCTAGCATGAAAGATGATGCCATAAATTATCATTAGAATAAATAACCACTTGGATCTTTGAAAGAGGATAGTATTATTGTATTAATCTTTGTAACTTTTTTTTAAAATTAGTCCCAGAACATGTAATTCGTCAATCATTTTAATATAAAATTAAAAAAGTGTAGCTTAGATTTATTAAAAAAAAAATTCTTTAGTTTTAAGGACTAATGTGGCAAGTTTTTACAGTTTCAAAGCACCAAAATAACGTTTTGTCTCTATATTGCACATGTAGAGCGTGTATGATGCAATCCCTGTTATGATTTTGGTACAACTCATATATTTATTCACTAACAGGTGCGTGAAATTATGTTGATTGCTTCTGCATCTGCTAAGTCTGCTGAAATGAAGAGTGGAGTCCCTTTGACTTCACTCATTCCCACAAGGCCTTCTTCTCCACAGGGAAACTCTACTAATTATGCAAACAAGAGTTCCATTTGCAGGCTGCAAGATGGTAATTCTCTTCTGTGCTCACTATTCAGGAATTCTCTTTAATGTTAATGCACTAATAATACAAGTCTTTTGTGGCTTTTGTTTGTGTCCCTCTTCAGAATTCCCTCTAGCACGCAGACAATCACTTCAAAGGTTTCTTGAGAAGCGAAGAAACAGGTACTAGCAACCTGTCATGGTCATGTTTAGTGCTCTCTTGTCACTTCAGAATTTCCAATATTGTATACCAAAAATTTATTGAAAGTAAGAATAATGGATAGAATTCATAAATTCTGGAGTCAGACTAACATAATTATATGATTTATATAACAAGTTTTAACCCATAATGGAAAGTCTGCGAGAAAGGGCTTTTGTTAACATTTTTCATGATATTACATATGCTGGTTCTGTTATTGACTTTGTTTTGTTTCTTGATAAAGGTTGGCTAACAAAGGACCTTATGCCTCAACAAAAAACTTGGCTCACAACATGGAGAACAACTTCTGCTCTGACAACACACCAGATTTTGGTTCCTTGGACTATCAGAGGAGGAATTTCAGCCCAGTGTTGTTGCCTCTTTAAGGCAACTGAAGTTGGTTCTGCCCTATATGAAGTGGTACTATCTGGATAGCATGTGCATGCATGTAGAAACAAAGAAACTGATATAACTATGTTACTTTCTTTGGACCATACATATTCTATGCCTGATTAGCGAACGTGAATGTTCATGTATGAGTTGAAAAGTTGGGTTATTTTGGTTGATAATTGGTAGAAATATTTATTATTCGCAGAAAACCTGCATTTTAGGTATTATTGGTGGACCTTATAATATGTTGTGTTGTAGCATCATATATAAATGCTTCCTTCGTATTTTGTCTGTTCTACCATGTTCAATTTTATTTTATTTTTTCAACATGGTCAAGAAAATGAAAAAAATAAAAATAAAAATCTGTCAGTTTACATGTCATTTTGATCAATAGATGTATAATTTTACTATTTACATCGTTATTTTTTTTTTTTAAGAAAAACCAGATAATTATAACACTTATTTTGACAAGTTTCATGTTTGAGTTTTTACCTCCGTGAATATTTTTTTAATCTTCATTTTCATTATCTGAATTAAATCAAAACTTGTAATGAGACATATTCTGATTTCAGTACACCAGATTTGGTGAACCATTCATCTCACCAAAATCAGGAAAACCTTAATCATTCATCCGCATTATCACACAAATCTTACGCAAAACAACGTTATTTGTCCGTTGGTTCATCCTATGAACTTGTTTGTATATTATTATGACACCAAATCAAAGATAAGAATAGACTTTTAAACATACCACGTATGATTCTCAAGATATAATGATATACAAAGTATATGCATATCTGACTTGGTTTTATTTTATTTAATTTATAAATAATTTTAGTAATAAATTCAGAGTAAAAATCATTTATTTACTTTAATTTAAATATTATTCTAAATGAAAAATATACTTAAAAGATAAGAAGAGTTAAAATAAAAATGGGAGAATTTCAATAATTTTGTAACATTAAAGAACAATATGACGTACTATAGAAGTGAAAATATCATTAATAAAAAACAAAAACTTTAAAATAAAAAATACGTTTTATAATTTTTGTTTAAAAAAATATTATCAAACAAATTTTTAATTTTTAAAATTAAAAAATTAAATTTATTTTTTAAAATAGCAGACAAATAATCAATAATATAAAATTTAAATATAAACTATATCACAATTATGTTCTCTAACCAATATATATGTAATAATTCTAAATTTACAAATCCTATTATTTTATAATCGATTATGTGAATAATCTTAGTAGATTTAATTCATTATTATAATCAATTACAAATTATGCAATAATAGATTATCATCTTTTTTATGGGTAATTATGTCAGCAATTTCACAATAATTCAATACTAATATGAAGTACAATTAAACTTATTTAGAGACGTGACACAATCAAATTTGCATATTCAATTATTCAAATCATTCAACAAATTGTACAATTAAATGAATTAGAAAACTTGTTGGGGTTGGGATGATTTGATATAAGTGGAAGAAGTTGTGTCTCCTTGCAACGTTATTATGGTTTCTTGCCAACCTCAATTACATTTTTTTTTACGAGATATGTATGAGTGAATGCACAAGGAGAAACAATTTACCAATGAACATGAGCTTCTAACGTTCGATCACCGCGCATAATAGTACTCCAGATTCCAGTTCATAGAAATATCAATTCATATAAAGTTGACATTAAATACATGTGGATGTTGTAGTCATAACCAATAACTAATGTAATTATGTGTGTTGAGTGAGCTATTGTTGGAACCATGCATGATCTTGGTAAAGATAAATCCATCACACATGCCTATGTACAAACAACAACAATATACTCAAATTCACTCTCACATGTCTTATTCTACATTACATCATTAGAACCAAACACAAATTTAATGAAAATACGTTTTTTTTAAAATGTCTACAACAAATTTATTTTAAAAATGTCATTTTTTTAAATTAAATAGAAAAAATATTTAGTGGAACTTTAGTTTGAAAGTTATTTGGAACGAGAAATGAGATAACGAAAATTATTATAATATAATTATTGGTAAAGAGGTGAATATCATTAATAAAAATAAAAAATAAAAAATAAAAAATAAAAAATAAAAAATAAAAATTTAAAAATATATTTTATTAATTGTGATGTTTTATAACAAATATATTTATTGTAAATTGTTTTGACAAAGTATTTATAAAATTTATCTTTTAAAATTTAAAAACTAAAAAAGGATTTAAAAGTGTTTTTAAAGATAATAAAGAAATAAGTTATGTGTATCTACGACCGTTAATATCTAATCCTTTTCCGAATTAGAATGTATTGGCTATGCTTCCTCTCTTTTGAAAGCATATACGTGGATGAAACTTTGAAAAGAGTTGTTGAATGCCCAATCATTTTCTAGTTTGCGTCAATCATCGACTCTCTCTAAATCATGTGGAATGATAATGGCCTGCATAAGGAAAAAAGCTTTCAGAAATAATTATGTTCACAAAGAGATTATAATGTCTTCTCGAGTTTGGGAAGGGTGATTTCAAACCAAATAACACATCTGCCACGTATATGAGATTACCAATGTAAACAAAACATCTAAGCTTCGTTGACTATCTTGGACACCACACATGAATGCACTTCTTGTGATCAACAATATATACGGGTTATAAAGGATAAGCTTAATATAACATAACATGGATCACGTGTTAAACTTGTTTAATATAAATAAATAAATAAATAAATAAAAATAAATAAATAAATAAATATATATATATATATATATATATATATATATATATATATATATATATATAAGAATCGATCTATTCATCCCAGCAAATACAGATTTACTTTTCATTATAACCAATATTTCTTACCCATGCTTGCATAATATACGCCCAATATAGTCATAAGATGGCATGGATAAGCATGTGAAAGTAAATTGGTATAGGAATTTGCATCGACCAATCATGAACATTCATATTGACACCAAATAATATATTATTAATAAATAATAAATAAATATAAAAGAAAAAAAGAAAGATAAAAAGGTAAAAAAATAAAATTATAAATATATACTTAAATATATTAAATCATCATTAAGTTTGAAGAAGATAAAATCATAAATTATATTAAAAGTACAAAACTAAAGAGAGATTAAAAAGATAAAATTGTAAATATACAAATAAATATATTAAATATTCATTAAATTTGTAACCAAAATTATAAAGAATTATAAAATTTTGGGATCCTTTGATTCAAAGAAGATCCACAAATGGAAACTAATTACTTCTACTACAAAGGACGAAAAACATTTAAAGATACCATTAGAAATATTACCACATGGATAAATTTGCCATACCGAGGAGATCATGCATCAATTTTTTTAAGTCATTAAAATAGATTTAATATGATTGACTGATTAAAAAATTGATATGTTAATAAAATTATTTATAATCTAAATTAAATTAGATGATCTATTTAGATCATAATAACTTAATTCAAATTAATATATAGATTTATAAATTAATTTATTTTATAGAATAATAATTATTTTTAAATAAAATTAAAAATAATATTATTTTATCAATATATATATTATAAATTAATTTGATAAAAAATTTATTTATTCTAAAAATAAATATAAAAATAAGTTTTGAAGAACAATTTATCTTTAAGATGTAATAGTTAAAATTAATTATTATTTTTAATTAATAAATTATGATAATAAAAAATAAATTTGTAATCCTTATTTTAAAATTAAATAAATATTTTTTTATAATTTATATATTAAATCATTATATCTTAAATAAAAAATAATTTAATTAATATAATTTAAATTTTAAAATATATTTTATTTAATTATTTTTAATTAATTGTGTTTGATATATATATATATATATATATATATATATATATATATATATATATATATATATATCTTTAAATTTTCATTCAGACAAAAATTGACCTGTCAACTGATTAATTATATTAGGTTAAAAATTATAATCCCATTCGGCTAGACCATCTAAGTTTACTTTTTTATCTGTGCGTTCTTCCATCCTCGAAACGGAAAAAAGAACCTCAGTCACCGTAGTAAGTTACCTACCTACTCTTCATTATCAATGATCACAAAATGCACAAGGCAAATTTCCTTATTAAGGAGTAACAGTAAAACTCTTCGACTGCACCGCCAACAGTTACAATGCAATACAAAATGCAAAAGATGGAAGAGGGAGGAGCAATGTACTAAAGCATTTTGAATAATCTCTTGCGTTTATTACGTATCCTTTTAGCAGGGTCCCAATGAGAGCTTCAAATATTATCACAATCTAAAAGTTGTGTTTACCAGAACAAATGTTTTGACTGAAACCATTCCCAAATAATACTGACAACAAGCATACCAACTGATTGTAATCAATTGTTGCTCTCTGATGATGCCTTTTGTTTCACTTACTGATGGCAATATTTTCATATATAATAGTCACAATGGCCATGAACCCAAGATCAGCGTGTATAGTTACATATCATAGACATTTACAGAGTTCAAATATACACGGGAACTAAAGAACCATGGCCCAAGAGTATTTTGAAAGGAAGACACAATTCAAAAGACGGTATACATTTACAGCTCACAATAGGAGTAGCAATTCAAAGAGCATTCAGAGAATGAAGCCAACATTGTTCCTGTAGATTAAGAATCACAATTGGACGGAAAATAAAAAATGAGAAATAGATAAATGCCATTAGATGTAATTACTTTTAAATCATTTCAGGGTTACAAATGTGACATTTTCTTTCCTCCCTCTCCCTTTTCTTATTATTCTTGGGGGGTTGGGGGATATCTTGTCATATGATTTCCTTTCAAGGATAGTTTTTCTGTTTCTAGCACTTACAATTTGGGATGAAAGTATTGTTCCACTGTGAGCGGTTTTGGACCACCAAACCAATTAATTAGAAATATATTTTCAATTTCCAATTTGAAGAATTGAAAGTTGTGATCCTTCGGCCAGTCTGTCAACAACACGAAAAACATAAGTTCTGAATAATTTTTTTTATCAACCATAGTGTATATACCGAGGAGAAAGGGGGCATTGAAATTTAGCAACCAGACACATAAAAACAGAAAGAATGAATGCTTCATTGATCATCTGGCAACTACCTTTCATCTCTGGATGCTTGGAGAACAAGGCATTTCTAGCAAATTCGACTTCCTTGGACTTTTTATCAACCAATTTCAGCTGAAACACAAAGAAAGTTTACTAAGACCTACTGAATATCAGAGAAAACGCTAGAGTGGTTTCTTTAAGATTCTCCGCCAAGTTACGTGGATATTGGCAAAATTACTATGCCAATGAAATAGAAGAAGTATAAACTAGGGTACAAATACAAAGGGTATAGAAATATAATATTGTAAATTAATTAAATCATAAGCTAAATGTATTTTTCAAAATCTTCTAACTCAGGCATGAAAGAGTAGTTAAAGAAAGCAGTGTTTGAAAGGAGTAAAGTAAGAGTACATTTCACTTCGTGTCTAACCAAGCCATGGTTACAAAACTTGGTGCTTTACACTGACTGATTTGTATGCTAGTGATGAGTGTTTAGAACAAATTCATGTCCAATAAGAACCGGTACTGGATATATACCCAGTTTGGATACACCAACCATCTAGGAGTACCCATATATCATAGATTCTTTAAGGTAAATGTTGAAAAGATTAAAATTTAATGCAAGACTTTAAAACATTGGTCCAAAATAATTCTTTATTTTTGTTTTTTGTTTCAATTTCTAAAATTGCAGGTTAAGCACTGTCCGAAGGTTGCACACCTCAGTCTTACTTTTCCTTCAAGACTTCAACAAGACTCATAGTGAAGCAAAGGATACAATTTCTATCAGAATAAATCTCCCGAAATGTAGATGATATTCTTATTATTGGAACACTGATTCAGCATTGAAAACAATTATTCAAACTCAATTAAGAACCTATGTAACATCCAACATTCACTATGTATCAAGATGGCATAGTGTGAACAAAGGCATTCTTATCACCCAAAGAATGCTTTTGACTTTTTGTAAGAAACCCTGATGCTGGGGTTTGATATAATGAAGTGAAGTATGGAATGTATACTTTGGGTATTGGACTGTCAGATATCCTTCCAACAGCAACATTCTTCTAGCAACCATATGATATGTCAAACATTGCTCACTAAGTGTCCGATGAAAAAAGGGCATTCAATTTAGAGAAATTTTTGGAAAAACAAAAGTAAAAACATTATGGTCACACATCCACATGATCATATTGGATATAATTAAATTCTTCACATACCTTTCCAGTTAGAGTAATTTTTGAGCAAGTAGGGTTCATCGGGTCTTTCCTGCCACATGTCCCAAGAGGGTATTCACTGACTGTAAATGAAGCTTTATCATTTTTCAATGCATCTTTTGCTGTTGGGTCTAGATTTGTCAAGTAGAAGTAAGGGATTCCAGACCCTCCATCGCTAAATGACACCACATTCCTGTATATAGATAACATAACAATAACTTTTCAGCATTCAAAATTAACAAATTCTAGTGCGTAAGTGATTTATATTTGTTATTTTCATAATGTCTTAAAAAAATGTGATTTGAAATTTGAATTTGCAATATTTTAATTTTATATTTATCTTTTTTTTTTTTAAATAAACGTATGCATCATACGCATAACCCAATGACTAATTATGTAGTAGAAGGCACCACAATTCCTCAATAGAAATTTTTAGCAGAGTAATTAAATGAATAAGAAGAACAGTTAAGAGACGCTTACCCAAAGGGAGCTCCACCCAAATCAGCTGAGATAGTGCTGAAAAGAAAGGAAAACACACACACACACAAGTGGTTGGTGTTTCAGAAGCGATAATTTGTTCATGCAACTTGATCGGAATTGAAGAGTTGGAAATAAAAGCAGTTGAGAGAGAGAGAGAGTACTTCAAGACTCCCCAGGAATTGAGAGAGACGAGCCAACGAGCAGAGGCAGCAGCATCATTTGGGTCGGGTTTTGTTGAGATCGACAGTAATCGCCCTTGTGATAGACAGCCCCACATCGACAACCACAGCAAACAGATGAACGCTTTGATTCCCATCATATTCAATTTGAAGCAAAGCTTGTGTTTTTCTCGGTTTCTCTGGGACTGACTATTTATGCTTCTTGTTTTGGTCTCTCAGACTCATAACTCTGCCCACAGAATCTATTATCCCAACACAATGCCGCCTATACTACAAATTCTCTACTCCGTGTGCGCTTTTTTATCCAAAAGAAACATTTTTTATTTATTAATTTCTTTTTCATTTATTTAATATATTATAATAAAGCATTTTTAAAATACATTTTATCATTATGTATTTGAGAAGGATATCTTAATGAATTTTAATGATATTATTAATGATGATTTCATTTAATATATCTATATAATTATTATACTTATGAATTTTCTTTTACCTTTTTTTCATCCTACATTATAAATACATGTGTAACTTACTTAAAGATTAAAAAACAAATAAAGATACAATCAATAAAAAAGTAATTAACATAGTGTTAGCTTATTAATTGATTAAATACCCTTAATAAGAAACAGTTGCGCTCCTTCTTAATAAGAAATAGTTAAGAAAGAAAAAATGTATTAAATTTTATTAATCTATTATTATTTTCTTTAAAATGACTTTTTTCGTAATATATAGATTATAATGGTGTAACGAAAAGTCAAACATTAATTAATATTAGGAAGAAAATAATTCAATAAAGTAAAAATAATAAAAACTTAGTTATAATTATCAACAAGAAAAGTGTATTTTTTTTCTTATAAATGAGAATAAAGATAGTATAAGACTAATTAATGAATATAATTTTACGAAAATTAATAATTACAGGTATGATTACGTGTACTTAATAATATCTACAATTTTTATAATAGTTTTAGATATCTATATAAGACTAATTGATGGAAAAATTATTAACTAAGCATTTGAAATTGTTTTTAATACTTATTTATTAAAGCAACGATTCATTAATTATTCAAAAATAATAATTGCTATAATAAATAAATATTTATGAATATTATCTTTAAAAATACTTTTTTTGTTTTTATTTGGAAGATAAAAATATATTTTTATTTATATGTTCTTTATTTTCATAGTCTTAATTGTGAAAATATTTTTATTCTTTCGTCTTCTCGATAAAATGTTTAAGTATCATACAATTTTCTATTCAATATACTTTTTATTTTATTGTTACTTTTTGAAATTTATAAATAATTATATTACAATCAAATAATTTTATTAACATCCATATTATATAAATTTTTTCTAACCATAATATTGACTTAATTATGATTTGTTTGAAAAATAAATATATTTATTATTTTTTACTTATTGAGCACGCTTATTAATATTGTCGAGGGAGAATTTAAAATTTAAGACACTATTAATTATTGTAGTCTTTTTTGTTTGTATCCTAAAATTTATAGTTTCGCATATAATATTTGTGAAATCTAAAGAAACAAATTAGTCATTGAAATGAGAGTATATCTTAAGAATTACTTTCAGAGCAATAATTGTTGTTAGCACATTCTTTAATTGGATATATTTTGGAGTAATATATATATATATATATATATATATATATATATATATATATATATATTAAAACTTAATGATTAAGATAAATGTTATAATGACAATATTCTTAGTAATTATGATCACATGATTGATATTTTGTAAATTTTATTTTAAAAAATAGTGTTTAATCTATCATTTACATGTATATATATTAATGCATTGCTAGTTAATTATATAATTAGTATTTAAAAATATATAGTTATAAAAAAATATATTACTTTTATTGTACATATAATAACTATATGAACTATGATTTTTAAAATTTATTTTGCCCCTGAATTTCGTTTTTGGTTTCGTTCCTATGTATATAAGTAATTGTTTTGTGTCTTGTATAATAATAGACTAAGAAAAAAACTCATAAACACGAATTTTCTGTGGTTAAGGATTATTTGATACTAAAATAATTAGTTATTTGTGTTAACTATATTATAATAATTAATATATGAATTAATTTTACTATGTACTTGACATTTTTAGAATTTTTATTTAAGTAATATTTTTTGTAAAATTTATAATTACGTGTAACTAATAATACCTCAAATATGGTTTAAAAAAAAAATACCTCAAATATTTAACTCCACCTTGTTTAAAGGCAAGACACTTAATCTGTTGCAATCTAATGTCGGATAATTAAAATAAACATTTAAAACTCTGCAATTATAATACATGTGATTCATGTTTTTCCGGTCATCTATATTCGATATTATTTCTATAACGTGTTGTTGATTTTATCCTTTCTTTATTTGCTCAAAAAGAAATGTTGAAAAGTTTGATGATTTTGAAGGTTGAGATCGGTTAAAAGCTATAAAGAAACACATAGTTACAAGAAGTTTAATTAACTATAGATTGGTAAATAAATTTTAATTGAAAAAGTGAATTTCAATTATGATGAGGTTGTCCAATGTAGGTGAATTTAAAATCGGTAGTAAAAGAGACAAACAATTGATATAAAAACATTAATTTTTAAAATTCAGCTATACTTTACATACAGCCAATGTTTTAAATCTCATAGATGTGAAATGAACTATACAATAAAATAAATAGTTATATTCAGGGGCGGAAGCAGGGTCACCCTAAATTTGATATCTTACAGTTAAATTTATTATTTATGTATCAACAAATAGTTATATTTCTCTTTCACTGCATTGATGCAGGTCGTACTGAAAAATTAAGGAGGATTATATTATGAGTAAAATATGCATTGGTTCAAATACAACTGGGACAGAAACATGCACATGATAAAAGTGAGAAGTAAAATAACAACTATGCCGGTAAACAGTGGCCAAACATCCTTATTTAACAGCAAAGATTAACTACTTTGATATCCATAACATTGAGAAAGTTTACAAGGTATCCTACAACCTCACTCCGTTATCTGTGTTCTATCTAGTGCGCACTACGCATAATTCCATGCAAGTAACCACCAGTCATTATAAGCGACACAAGTGACACAACACCTGCTGGAAAGACCTTCCCTGATTTCTTGAAACGAGAGCCCATCACCCCAAGAAGTGCAGCAGATATGCCTATATGTAGGGAGTAAAGTAAACGAAATCAGATATGAGAGCAAAGATAGTCGTACTGCAAATAATCTCAACACAGGAAACAAGGGAACCTAAGACTGCTTCAAAATTAATATTTCAAAATCAGAGCACTGAAATTGTCTATATTATCAAACATTATTTAGGTGACCATCTACTTAATCATATATTCTCAACTGCAAACCACAATTTTGACTGTAAGTAAGTAAAAACACACCATATAGTCTCTTCCATGGCCAGTTGAACAACTTTCAATGTTATTTATCGTTAGTTTTTGTTAGGTTCTATAAAATCTTATAGGCTTTAATAAGAAATTAATATAGTTTTTAACTCTTAAAAAAAACTTTAGAATTCTAGGATAACCAACAATATCACAGTTCATATTAGCTAGTCTCTATTTGAATTTTCACACATCATATCAAGTCAATAGACACAAAATGATGTGTGTTCATGAATTGCACTATTTATTTACATAATTTTTTCTTCGACTTTAAAAGTTTCATCTCTTAATAAAATGGAATTCCTATTATTAAAATGTTGGAGATCTCATATTGATTATAAATATGACTAAATTATAGTAAATTATAAGTTGTCTAGGTCACACGGTGTGTGAGGAAACGTTGGAAGATCAAATCACAGCATACAAATGAATGCAATCCTAACCTAATAAACCAATTTTGTAGGGTTGAATTAAACCCAAATTCTCTTTTTAATAGAAGACTTCTCTCGTACAATAAATTATATAACTATTTCTTAACAAATAGCCAATTTTTTTATTATATTTTTGAATGCTATTAAAAAATACTAATGCATTGTACAAGAAATTTACAAGGACTTTAACATGCGAATTCAAAAGAACTCCAAAAATTTAGACATAAAGATTACGTTATTTCAAAAGTACTAATGCATCCTCTTAAAGAAATTACCTTCTTTGTTTTTCGAACAGATCAAATTCCTTAGTATTCAAAGATGGGCTTTAACCAATGGGAAAGTCAGATATGTTGGGAAAATAGTCACTTACCAAGGCCCACGGATGATGCAAAAACAGGTCTTCCAGGTAGCTCAGTGTAAACATAATATAGCAGTGATGCAGACAATCCCCCAGCCAAAAGTGACTTCTGGCTGCCACTCTTGAGAAAACCCATTACACCACCCACTGCCAAAAACCCATAAAAAACATCATTGTGTATATTACACCGAGAAAGGGCAAAACATAAAGATAATGCAAAATCATGGAATAGCCCAATCCGTTGGACATATTAAATTGTACACTTAAATACGTGACAGATTCTAAAAATCAGTTTTAATGCAGGAGTAGTGTAGGACCATATAATTAGAAAGCACGTATTTACAAAAAATCTTAAGGGACAGCATAAATATTATGATCATAGATTTAAAAAAAGAAAAAGGCCTAGTAAGCATAATAATATTATAACTTAATCGTTATGATGTTGTCACCGGTATTGGTATACAACTCCAAATCATAGTAGTGAAAAAATAGCTATTGTTTCAGACACATGCACGTTTCTTACACGACATTGCTGCTAATTTTGAAGTGTGCTTCCAAGCCATAAAATTCGTGGAAAATTGCAGCTAGAGACGAAACTCAAATAATAGCAATTAAAGTAAGTTACATAATTAACATCTGAAATTGCAAAGAGAGAGAAGCACCTCCGACGAGCGCAGCATAAGCTAGAGTAAATTTCTGAGACATTAACATAGCCATTTTCCTCTTGTCACTGTCCGATCCTTCCTCGCCCTTGTTGTTATTAGCTCCTTCTCCTCCTCCTCCTCCTCCTCCTCCACCACCGCCGCCTCCACCAGAACCGCTACCGTTTCCGATACCGTCGGAACCGTGGCCGCTATTATCGAAATCGGGTTGATTTAGGTCAAGCGAAGTGGCCTTGGAGTCGGAAGTGACGGCGGCGTAGAGATGGGGATTAGAACGTGTAAAGTAACGGAGAGCAGGGAAATGAGATTGAGAGCGAAGGAATAAGGAGATGTTGGGAGTGGAAGCGTGAGATCTGGTAAGAGAGAATGAGGGAAGAGTTGAACCCGTAACACCCAACCCACCTACACCTACACTCTCTGCCATTGACATTCTCCTTTCCTTCGATTTCCTTACACTTTTGATTTCGCCCCCTTTCCACAACCTTCTTCTCGCTTCCGGCCCATTTCAATCCACCTACGCCAAGCCCAAGCCCAAGCCCACGTCATGTCTTTTCACTTGTCAATAAATAATTAGTAATTGTCTTAGCTCATCCTTTCATCCAAGAGACCAAAACTACAGAAAAATCATGTTTAAAAAAAAAGTTACAGACCAAAACGCTTCAAACAAGTAATTGCGAGCTATGAGCTAAAAATAAAAAGTTATTTTTGTAATCGAAATAAAAAATTATTGCAAATCTAAGAAAAATAAAATTGAAAATTATGTAAGAAGTGTTTGTTATTTAAACTGGTTTTATAATATTTTAAAATTTGTAATTTTTTTAAATAAGAGAGAAATAATTAAATAATATTATAATATAGGAAAAATTATGGAAATAATATTTTATAATTATGATTTCTTTATTAAAATTAAGACACATGTATATTTATTTAGTAATAATATTTTATTTAATAATAAATTTGGAGTAAAATATTATAAAACTAAAATTAAATAATAAAATTATATAGGAGAAATTATTTGAAGTGGAGTTTAAATTTACGGTGGTTTAATGTAAAATTAAAAATTGAGATTGAGAAATATAATTTTATTTATTAATAAGAAATTATTTAAAAATAAGTAAGGAGTGGAAAGTTAGTAAAATAAAAATAAAGAATAGGATGATTTAATGAAAATTATTTAAATGAAAATTTAAAATTATAGTAATTTAATGTAAAATTAAAATTGAGAAATATATTATTGTGTAGTAATAGTAATTTATTTAAAAATAAGTTAGGAGAAAAAAATTATAAAAATAAAAATAAAGGATATAAAATAATTTAAGGGAAATTATTTGAATAAAAATTTAAATTTATGATTGTTCAATGTAAAATTAAATTTGAGAATAATTGTTATTTAGTATTAATAATTTATTTAAAAATAAGTGAGTAGTAAAAAATTTAAAACATTATTAATAATTTAACAAGTAAATAAAATAATTTTGTAAGTTTTTTAAGTTGTTCTAAAATTATGATATGATTATTTGTAATTTTATAAATAAGATATTTAAATGACTTTCATTAATTTTATTGTATTTAATGCAACAGGAATTTTGTTGTATTTAAGTTATTTATTTATTTAAGTTTGAAGATAATTTTTTATTTAATTTTTCTATTTAATAGTCTAATTATTTGTATTAATAGCTGTAGATACATATATTAATAATGTAAAGTAATAAAATTTAGAAAGAAATAAAGTAGGAATACAAAATGGTAGAATGAATTTTTAAGATTCTTTGAGTATTTATTTAAAGACAAAATGAAATTTAACATTTAAACAAAGTACACCTTATTGAACATTAATTAAAATGAAATTAAAAAGAAACAAGTTAGAGAATTTTAGATCTCCTAATATTGTGATGATCGATGTCATTTTCAATGGTCATGCATCTTTTATTTTGATGAATAGTTCAATGGTATCTAATGAGTTATGTGGTGTTATAGTTGTGTTGTAATAATTTATGAAACTATTAATTGGGTTGGATTGAGATTATTTTTGGGTTGTCACCACTAAAATTATTTTGAGATTTCTATTATGGTGACCCTTTAAATAGGTACTCTGAAGTAAATTATTCTTTATGCGAATGAGATGGAGTTTGAGTTTATGGAAAAGGTTGCGTAGATGAGTTTAGAAAATTCAATATTTATTTAATATATCTTGTAAATTTAACATACAATTTACTTGATTGGATTACTTATAATTTATCATTTCAAAGACATCAATTTGTTTCCTAACAAAACCTCATTATTTTCTTTAAATCTCAAACATTCTACTTCATCGTCTTCAAATAGAACACTTCGACGTTACTAAGACAAAATATTATTTTAATTCTTATCTTATCGTTTTATTTGTAAATGGTGAAATCAACTAATGTGAAGACGGTGTGTAATTTCAACATGCAATTTCAAAACTGTTTCACATGTCATACTTGCACCTTTACTCTTTTAAAGGATAAAATCTGTACAACTTTAAAATTTTCAAATAATACATTATTTAATAAGTTGTACTTTGACAACCAAAAATAAATGAGGATAGTGTGATTAAATATGTTTTTACTCAAATATCAACTGATCTTGATGTCTTTAAATATTTAAAAAAATAGGATTTAAGTGTGGTGTATGATATATATAATAGGATTAAATGTGTGTTATTTGAGGTTGACAAATACATGTGTACGGTAGATGTTAATGTGAATGTCAAGGTGTTATGTGACCTCTATGTAGCACACATTTCCAATAAAATTGACAAGTTTCTAATAAAGTTGACAAGTTTTGTTTATGTGGCAGAAAATGCAGTTGAATTGTTGACATGTGTCCTAAATCACCCATCACCTATTGTTTTAGGTGAAATTGCAAATGTTTTTTTTCTTAAAAGGTACTTAATATCTCATAATAACTTGTGCTTGATTTTGGATCACTACAACTCAATTAATGTAATATATGTAAGACATGAGAATGGATGGACTGAAGTTAACTATATACATACGTATTACATGTAATATATTATACATAGGGATGACAATTAAATTCGTATCCATGATCCGTCCCCGCCCTAAGTTTGACGGGAAAAAATTGAGTTGACCGGGTGCGAGTTCGGATTTTTTCCGCTTTAAAAAGTTGGGGGCGGGGATAAGTAATGCAATCCCCACCCCCCGCTCCGTCCCTGTTAAAGATGGCAAAACTAGTCAGGCTCAGAGCCTGCTATAATGTGGAGGGGCAGGTTAGTAAGCCTGTTTTGGCCTGTTCCGCCAAACTCGTCAACCCGCAACCCACTTTACTAATAAATTTTTTATTGTAATACAATACAAAGAGTCAGAAAGACAATATATAATATAAAGATTTATGAAAAGAGAATTCTAAAAGTCCTAGTGTATAATAAAGAGAATTCATAAAGTCTCAGTATCTCACTACTAAGAAAATTAAAAAAGTTTTATAATTACTTAAACTCACATAACACGAAACACTTTTCTTTCTGAAACACAAATTCCTCTCTCTTTACTTTCCTCTTACTCATCATCTCCTTCTTGTTTATCCTTTTTCATAAGGTAAAAATTAGGCATGGCAACGAGACGGGGGGTTGTCTCCCGATTCCAGCCCTCGACTTTTTAACCATCCACGTCCCCGATCTCGTCGGGGTTGAAAATTAAGTTCCCATCCCAGTCCCGTTGGGTTTCGAGTTCTCCACCGCCCGATCTATATTATTTTTAAAAAGATAATTACATTTATAATAAATTAATTTTATTATGTATTTTTTATATATAAATAAATATTTATAATTTTATACTTTATAATTATTATTAATTAAATATACATTTTAATTTATTATATTTATATTAAAATATGTATGTAAAAAATATTTAATTATTTTTTATTTATATATATAGAGAGAATATTTATAGCATTATTATTATTATTATATTCAAATATTTAAATATTTATAACATTATTATTATAATACTGTATTCAAACATTTAATTATATATATATAAGTTAATTTATTTTTAAGTTGTCATTTAAAAATATGAAATATATAGTTTATAAGAAAATATTTAATAAGTTAATTCTTATTTAATTAGTTCGAAATAATAAAATTTTAAATTATCAATTTATTTTAATCCTTTAAAATACAAATATTTTATTAAGATAAAATTTGATATATGATAAATAAAAATAATAAGATAAAAAAATATGACATAATAAAACCTAATAAATATAAATTATAAATAAAATAATATTAGTTACTACTAGGATTTATGTAAAATATTTAGAAAAAGATAAAAAAGATAAAAAAATTTACTTTGTGTTCATCAAATTGATTGAAAATATTAAAAAAAAAAATTGATAGGAGAAATTAAGGAAATATAAAAAACAGAAAGGTAAGAGAGAGAATAATGTAATAAATTAATTGATATAAAAGATTAAAAAAGACAAAAAAATTAAAAGTGGGTAGAAGAAAAATAAAAATTGGTGAAATATAAAAAAATAACCTTATAGGTAATAGAAAAAGAAAAGAAAATATATTTAAAGTATTAATATTTTAAATTTTAAATTTAAATATAAAGTTGGGACGGGGAAGGGACGGGGTCGGGATCGGGATTGCATTACCCATCCCCACCCCGATTTTTAAAGCGGGAAAAACCCGAACCGTCCCGCCCAGTCCCTGGTCAACTCGGGTTTTCCGTCAAACTCGGGGACGGGGACGGGTCGGTCCCTACGAGTAGATTTAATTGTCATCCCTATTAAAAATCATATATATCTCAAACTTTTTTATTATCTTTTATATTTGTTACTTTCTTAATGTTTAATTTTTTATCTTAGTATTTTTCTCTCTCACGACTCATTTATCATGTTTTTCTATTTATGCTTTTGTTGAAATATTTGAGTAAGAAAAAATTATGATTTTTTTTTAATATATTTTAAACAAGAAATGATGGTTCAATTAGTAAACCTACTTGTGGTCTTAATGATGTCGTCAATGAAGTTTTATTAAATAAACAAATATAATGTAATTTTTATTTAAATGTTTAAAATTTTCAATATAAAAAATAAATATTTAATAAATTTTTATTGTTACATACATGTATTTATTATTATATAAATTTTATCTTAATTTAATTATTCTAAAATATAATTTATTAAAATAATATATCAATTTATATTATTAACTTGAAATAAATATATATATATATATATATATATATATATTGAATTGTTGACAATGATAATTTTATTATTAAATTTATTGAAAGATTTGATTTAAAAATAATAAAATAAAATAAAAAATGAAATATGACGGACTAACCCACCAATTCACCCTTTGGCGGGACGAGCCAAGACTTGTAGCCCGTCATGACTATAGCAGGCTAGCCTGCCCGCGCCGCTTTTGGTGGGCCAAAGGCAGGGTGGGATAAAATGGGGCGGACTGACCCATTTTGCCATCTAGTCTCTCTCCTCGCCTCGACTTTATATTTAAATTTAAAATTTAAAATATTAATATTTTAAAAATATTTCTTTTTCTTTTTATATTATATATAAAGTCATTTTTTTATATTTTACCATTTTTATTTATCTTCTACCAACTTTTTTATTCTTTTGTCTTTTTTAATATTTTATATCAATTAGTTTATTTCATTATTTTTTTCTCTTACGTTTCAGTTTTTCACATTTCTTTCCAATCAATTTGTTTTTTTTTTCCAATGTTTTCAACCATTTTGATGAACATAAAGTTAATTTTTCTTCTTCTTTATCTTTTTCTAAATATTTTACAAAAATCTTAGTAGTAACTAATATTATTTTATTTATAATTTATATTTATTAAGTTTTATTATGTCATATTTTTTAGATCTTATTATTCTGATTTGTCATGTATCAAAATTTATCTTAATAAAATAATTGTATTTTAAAGGATTAAAAAGAATTGATAATTTAAATTTTATTACATTGAACTAATTAAATAAGAATTAACTTATTAAATATTTTTTTAAAATTATATATTTCATATTTTTAAATGATAACTTAAAAATGAATTAACTTATATATGTAATCAAATATTTAAATACAGTATAATAATAGTAATAATAATAATAATATTATTATTATTATTATAAATATTCTATATATGTATAAAAAATACATAAAAATAGTAAAATTAATTTATTATAAATATTTTTTTTAAAATAATATAAATTGGGGACCAGACGAGAGGATGGAAAAATACGAAACGTAATGAAGGATGAAGACGAAGATTTAATTTCTAACCCGACAAAGATCGAGGATGAGAATATGAATGATTAAAAAAGTCGAGAATGAGAGATAAAATTTACCACACCTCTTCTCGTTATCATGCCTAATTTACACAAAATTTTATAAGATAATTTAAGAATATGATTATAAAAAAGGACATTCATAGTACCGATGAACACTTTTGTTTTGAAAACAACATTTTTTCTATGTAATGTCTACTCTTTCTTACTTCAGCATGCAACATACATAACTGCAGAGTCAAAAACAAAATACTACTATATCCTAATAAGAAAAGCTATTTCAAAAGTACCAACTTGGATTAACAAAATTTCTAAGCACACATAGACATTTGTATATAACGAAGGGAGAAGATGGGTCACCTTACAACTAATTTAACAAAAACCATCAAATCAATTATCAAGAAAATAAAGAATTTACTAATCATTATTATTAACTTTCTCTTATTTTCTTTCAATAGTAAAAGAGAACGGCAACAACAAGAGTAAGAGATAACAGGAATAGTAACATTTATATATATATATATATATATATATATATATATATATATATATATATATATATATATATATATATATATATAACCTCGATTTTCTTACTTTATTTGGAAATCAGGCATGCCACACTTTCCGTGCTTTTCCGCGCCTAGATCCAAACAAGTCATAATTTTTTTTAATATTTTAATTTTTTTACTTCTCTAAATAATTAAATACTACAAACTTACTAAATTTAATAATTTTTTTAAATTAATTTCAATTTATACTCCAAATATTTCTCAATTTTAATTTTCCATTAACACCTTATTTTTTAACTTTTATTCAAATAATTTATCTTCAATCATCCTATTTACTAAACTTTTACTGCTTACTTATTTTTAAATAATTTTTTAATACTAAATAGCATTATTTTTCTCATTTTCAATTTTAAATTAAATCGCTATAATTTTAAACCTTTTTTTTTCAAATAATTTCCCTTAAATCATCCTATTCTTTATTTTAGTTTTTCTAAAAATTTCTACTACTTACTGATTTTTAAATAAATTTTTATTAATAAATAAAATTGTATTTCTCAATTTTAACTTTATATTAAACCACAATAAATTTAAGTTTCACTTTAGATAATTTTCATTATATCATCTTATTATTTTTATTTTTCTAATTTTTTACTCTAAATTTATTATTAAATAAATTATTATTACTAAATAAATATATATTTGCCAATTTTAATTTTAGGTAAAGCTACCATAATTATAAAATATTATTCCCATAATTTTCTTATATCATCGTATTTTTAATTTTTTTCTTATTTTTTCTTCTTTTTTTAAATAAAAAAAATTGTAAAGCCAACTCTAAAATACAGTTCCGTAGAACCAATTCTAGGTAGTATTCTGATGAGATTGAAACCAATAGAATTGGACTTCTAATTGATCGAAGTTTGACTAATATTCCGTCGAGATTGAGACCAATGGAAATTCAAAATTCGACTCCCAGAAAATCGAAACGTGTTATATTTGTAAATATAATGCACAATATATTACATGAAAAAGAAAATCTCAACTATACTTTGTCAGAAAGAAATTCTGAGTACTCAATTACGAGCATACAACTAGTTTGAAAGTTATGACAAATTCACAAGTGTAACTTTAATACCATATTAACTCCTTGGTGTATCTGACATTTCTGGGAAATCTGATTCTTCCATCACCAATGGATGAATGTCAGTGGAGGGATTGTATTGTTGAATCACCATAACTGATGTAACGGTGGAGTAATCTGAAGAAGCCAAAAAGCTTCCAACAGGTCCAAGCTCTGGACAATCACTCTGGCTACCCAAAGGTGCCACTGATGGCATTCTACCAACCAATATTAGGTTGCTTCTCTTCATATCCTTCAATGTTGTCTCAATATCTCCTTTACTCTGCACTAGCTTTTCCTCATACTTCATTGACTCTTGGTTGTTGTTGCATGCACTTAAAAACTTACTCCACAATTCATCATCCTGCTTTTTATCAGCATAATTATTGTCATCAACCGCATCAACTGTTTTCCTATCCTTGTTTGATGACACCCCAACTAATCTAGCACCAAAGGCCAAAGATGTCCCTGGTGGAGTTACAACTTTGACCACATTGAGAA